CACAAACCAAAAGTGTGAAATCAATTGTTAGGTTTACTAAAATAAAGCTAACATGCAAGCATAAAAACAGAACAAATGTGTCTAAATTAATCAATAAACCTTCAATTTGACTGGAAAAGTTTTTTGTGTTTGTATAAATAAGGGTGCTTGAGAGTTACTGACTTGATTTAAGCATTACCATTGCACCTTTAAAATATTTTGTATATTTCCTCTATTAAGCTACACTAGGGCAAACAAAATTTTATTTTTATATTATTTTAAGCTTTTCCTACTGATTCATCGACAGGATCTTTATGAGGAAATTGGTTATGTTTCCACCTTTGCTGGTAAATGGGAGTGGGACCTTGACCTCAATGATATTTGCTGTTTTCCAGGAAATCGATTACAAAAATCTTTACTTTGAAATACTGATGTTAAATGTAGGTCATTTGTAAATATTTTTGTACCCATCACCTCATTTCTTGTCAGCTGACTTTGGCTACTAATGCCTGGAAACTATTATTTGTACTTTTGTTAATAATAGAATTGGTCTTGAGTTTGTTTAAACCAGTTAGTTTAGATATTACTGCAACTAAAAAAAGAAGATGTTTAAACTTGCTAAATGTAAATCATTAACCATTTTCCTGATTACATCTGGGATGCCCAGGGACACACTGCGAGACAGAAAGCCTCCTTTATGGTTACCAGCCTTATTTTTCTAGCTCCTGACTGACCACTTTATATCAATATGGGGAACGCACACTGTCCTCCAATTTATATAGCACATCTAGCTACTATTGCTCAAAATATCTGTCCTTTTCCAAACTACGACCTCAATCCTCATTTGATCAGCGTGCTCTCCGACCCATCTTCCTCCTACCTGAGTGAGCATTGCATGACAGTGCAAAGATCGCTGACTCCCAGACAACTGGAGGACTTCACCAAGAGCCTAAATGCTACTTTGGAAGGGAGAGGAAAGTGAAGTTTGGGGCGTCCGGATTAGTGGCCCTATCTCTTGCTGTGCTATTTGAAACTCTTGCCAAACAGGCCAGGGGAGAGATGGTTTCCGAATCTGGGCCCATCCAGGGGTTATTTGTCAAAGATCCAAGAGGTTTCTACCCACCAGGTGTCTTCACCATGAGTAAATGTCTAAGACTTATACCTTAGCAAACAACCCCACTAAGATGATTGTGGAGACCGAGAGGTAAGTTTTAAGTGTTTGTACATTGCTTCAGTGCTTTCAGTTTTTTAGTTTGTGAACATATCTGGCTTTCTTCTCTTTTTAAGATGCTACAATCAAATACTGGCTGACGACCTAGCCATAAAACAACAGATAAAAAACAACAACTCACCATACGGAGAAGATATCACACAAATCAATTTAATGATAACCAAGCTGTTTGAGATTATGTTAAGGTGTTACCTCCGTCGTACAAGAATCTTAACTGAGACTTTAAGTGATTTTAATGCAACAATCAGTCCAAGCACTTTTACCATGAACTGTGATCCTGTGGCGGCGGACCAAGTGTTTATTGAATTTGTTAACTCTGACAGCTACACTGAAGAAGCCTTTCTGAGTTGCAAACCAAAAGATTCAGTGCCACAATCATGGATAGCCTACGTAGCTGAATTAAAGCTCACATATATCCTTTCCTTTGTTGATATTTTTTCAAATATTGAGGAGAAATTTCTTGAGCAAGGGCGGGATTTTGACTTATCAAATTGAGGTATATTTGGACTTGCCACTTGTTTGAAAACTTACCTAAAGGCTACTGTATGTACAATATTTAGTACTTGCGTGTAATTAGAGCATTGTAATAACCAAAAAACAAATGTTTTCTAATACAAAGCCTTCCCAGTATCATGACTCTCTTACTTTGCCTACTGTATTTACAATATAAAACTTATAGCAAAGCTTTAGCTTTAGACAGTACAGTATAATCAGTTTTTGTTTTGCAAAATCACATTGCTGAGCTTTTATCAATTACAAAATAAAGGAAGATGTGGAAAAGAAATCCTTTGGGGTAATATATAAATTATACTGTTTATGTTTTGCTCTGAAAATTGTTTTAACTAAAAAATAGAGCATATTTTATGGAGAAGCTGCTCCTATTAACTGTACACACACCAAACATCTGATGCAACACGCTAAGGGGCAGAACAGGGGACACCAAGCTTTTTAGGACTTTGAGCTACTTGGGTTCTGAGTCTTAGGAAGGATTACCAATACTGACATATGAAATAGAGGGGTCAGCATTCAACTAAATATCTAATGTAATAAAAATATTTTAATTGTTTCTTTCAGATTCTAATGTTCTGCTCTATAAGTGATTAAAATGTCATGGTTCTCCCCTTTTTGGGACTCTGAGTTTTTAGTTTTCAGTTATTAGTTATTCTGTTTTGTTGATCTTTGTTTCCTTTCCCCTTGGCTTCCTTCTAGTCAGTTCCACTTACACCTGCTCCTTATTTAGTTCATTAGTCCATCCTTTGTTCTGTTCCCCTTATATACTCCACCTCTGCAGTAACTCAGTGTTGGTTCCTTGATGTTGTATTGTTTTTCCCTTGTCTCTGGCTTCCCTTGTGAGTTTTCTCTGATGCTCTCTGGTATATTGGTTCTTAGTATTTTTTGATTTTTGGTTGTCTGCCTCTGTTCTTCATTAAATCTACAAGATTCACCTCTGCCTCCTGGTCTCTGCATTTGGGTCGTCAACCAACCTACATACAAATTATGACATAAAAAAAGAAGCAACAGAATAGAATAACATTTCACACTTGTTAGTTGATGCTGAGGGCAGCCCATGTGGTCCTTGAGGGTCCCTTGGTTCTCAAGGGCACTGAGTTGGTGACCTTTAGGGCAGACAACCATAAATAATTTGCTCAAATACAAACTAATTTGAGTCTTTCACATTATAACAAAGGGGTTTTATATATTTATGTCAAGTGCATATGGTGCTCTTTTAGTGTTCTTGGTGTATGTGGTGTCAGATACAGGAGTTTGCCATGCCACCAGGGAGGGTTGTCGGTTCAAGCCCCCGCTCCGGCTTTCAGTGTGGTTGTGTCCTTGTGCAAGACACTTCACTTGCGTTTCCTGCTGATGGTAGTCAGAGGGCCAGGTGGTGCTACAGCATCCTTGCCTCTGTGTAGCTTGCCACCACCAGTGTGTGGGTGTGTGTGTGTGTGTGAATGACTGAATGTAATGTAAAGAGCTTTGGTCAAGTCTCCTGACTTGGAAAAAGCACTATGTAAGTACTATACATGTCATTTACCATTTAACATTTCTTCATTCAAAACATATGGTCAGTAGGCACCTGAATATTTTAAACTAAACCTCAAACAGATGTGACATTAGCAGATGTCAGAATTCTAACAGAAGTGTGCATGCACAACAGATACTAATTGGGATTTTTGTGATTAATACAAGCAGTTTTATCTAAAACATATGCACATAAAACTACTCTCCACATCGAGATTGTCTTAAACATAAAGACTGTGTATCACAAGCAGAGGGGCCGCCAGGAATTTGGGGCCCCATGAAAATGAATGAATGAACAAATGAATATTTTGAGTTTTTTGAACTTTCAAGTTCAAAAACGTGTGCTCCCTATTTGGAATCTATAAAGATCAGTCCCCCAATGACCCTACAAAACCTGTCTTGAATGGCTTATTGATTTGAAAGCTTGTTTGTCCAAAAGGCTTCAAAGCTGAATGAGAACAAAACTTTGATGCTACCCTGACAACCTAAAAAACTCCATTTGACTTGAGCACACACCTGAGTTAAACAAAGAAATTATTTCAAAATTATTTTAATTGTTTATAAAATTGGCTGCGGTGCTTTGCAGCAAGAAGATTCTTGATTCATTTACTTATCTATGGTCTTTCAGCATGTTCTCCCTCTGCATGAGTGAGTTTTCTCTGGGTACTACGGCTTCCTCAAAGAGTCATAAAACATGACTGTTACGTTAATTAATGGCTGTGTGTCTCTGTGTTGCCCTGCAACATCCTGGTAACCTATCCAGGGCCAACCTCACCTTTTGCCCATAGACTGCTGCAGATGGGCACCAACCCCACCATGACCCTGAAGGATAATGGAAGAAAAAATGTCATTTTACTGCATTTTTGCATTATATTTGTCTTTGCACTGCTCCGAACTTCCATTCATGATGTAACTAATGCTAATTACATTTTTAAATGTTTATTTTTAGTATTATAAATAATAAATAAATTCATTTTTATCAGCTATTTAATTGTTTAGTTTAAATTCATCTTATTATTCAAATTATTCATATTTATTCTTTTAGGTTTTTTTCCTCATGTTTATATTACCTTTATGCCAAAGCAATGCACATCTGTTTGTTTTCTTCTTATGCTTAAGCAAAGCCCTGACTTGTTTGGCTATTGAAATTGACCATATAAATAAGGTTAACTTGCCTTTGCTAAATAGGCTACCTTTATTTTTGTTTTTTGTTAAATAAACCCAAACACCCTGTTTTCAAATCCATTGGTATTTGGGCCACACAACATTAAGGCAACAGTGAAAATTACAAGAAGTAGAGTGATTGTCAAAGCCAAACTGATTGATTCTAACAATGTTTTGGTAGTCAGTTTAGATATAGGAATTTGTTTATTGTTGTTTGTTTTTTCATTATATTTTATAAATCATCCAAGATCAGTTATCAGACTCTTATGTTTGTAAGTTTGAATAGAAATGTCTTTTGCAGGCCCATATAGCTCTAATACACTTGCATGCATTTTGATTCCTTAATGAATTAGCATGTAAGCAGATGTTGGTCCTGACAGCAGCTTGAATTGATAGTGACTTTAGATGTCAAAATAATAAAATATTATGACCAAATAAAAAATGTTAGTTGAGCTTAAACCAGTATCATATTAAGTTGTGTTTATAGGTAAAAGAAGGGGTGGGGGGACTGATGAAGGTTTCTGGCAGAGAAGTTAATCCTTAAAGCTGCTAGGAGACAGGGGGGTGGGGGGATGGGGATTGATGGACAAGTGTCCGCTGTCTCCCTTGTCGCATCTATGATTTATGATGAGAGGCGCAACAGTATGTTTTATCGCATTGAAGGAGATGAAGTCCCCCTCCTGCATCTTGTTTAATGAAGCCATGTGAGACAGATCTGCGCATCTTTGGGGATCAGACATGGTGCACAAACTTCTCCTCCCCATCGGTGAGTTGGCTGCATTATAAGAAACATTACAGGATCTGATAGAAAATTAAGTCAGAAGTCTTAAAAGAAGTATGATAAATATCTTGACTAAATGTTACCCTCTCTTAGGGGATGTAATAGTCCATAAACTGTGTTTACTTGTTTCTCTTAAATTAATAAATGATAAAAATAAATGATTGTTATTATTATTTAAATTTTTTTATCTCTCTCTCGCTCTCTTCTGGCTTCTCAGTCATAGCAGCCAGCCTTATCCCACCTGAGACCTGTAATTCAACAGCAAACATGAAAAAGACTCAAGGTATGCTTATAACTTTGCAAATTGGAAGAATTTAACTTAGTGCATTTGATTTATGTCACTTCATTCAAACAGATAATTTCTCCTTTAGTGAGAATAGTTACAATAAAAGTTGCTTCGTAATCTTCTTTGAAGAATGTTAAATTATGTATTTTTTATATTAGTAATTTTTTGTGTTTGCTTTTGTTTTTTGTTGTTTTTTTCCTTTAACTTTGCTAGCTGGAATATAAATTTTAAAATAGCCATATCTAGACACAGAATTGTTACTCGCATAAAGGTATACAAGGCTTTTACAGAGTGACATTTTTAACACGGTTGAAAGTTTATTTTCTAGTCTTCCTGCTTTTTAGTGTTTTTTAGTTTTTCCACTTAAGACTATAAATCCTGTAGATGCTGATAATACATGAACTGGTTGATTTAGCTTTGTAGACCAATCAGTCAAGCAGAGGTCACCTAACTTTCCCTTCATTTGTCCTCATAGCGGATCAGCAGGTCAGAAACTACAGTCTGTTTTTTTCCTAATTAATTATTCAATACATTTTCTGTGAAAATAATCATCGACTAACAGTCTAAACAAATTCTGACATGGAGCTGTGAAGAAAAAAAACACGCATCAGCTGTTTGCTTTAAAGCCATTGCCTCTTCCAAAGAACCACATTTTTATTATTTAACATGCTTTGTTCTTAAAGTGTTGAATTGATAATTAATAAATTCTGTAGGAAAGAAAATCCGGGTATGCAAACATGTTGTTTAGCAACCATAAGAAGAACCATACATTTTCAGTGCAACTTTCCTATTTTTAATCAATTATTTAATTTAATTCACTTCTATTCTCTTTAATTATTTATGTTGCCTCTATGCCACTGCAGTGTGCTTTTCTTTTTTTTTTCTTCTCGTGTCACTTTGATTGTCTTTCCAAATGTGCTACTGAGATAAGATCTGTTTGAAATGTCTATATAAAGTCTATGAACTAAAGAATATAAATAAATATGCTGTAGTTTAGGGTATTATTTTTTTTTTCAAAATCTTGCTCTCTTCACAGTTTCATGTAATTACAAGGTTCTTTATTATTTCTGAACATTTCAAAATTTAAACAAATAAAAAAATGTAATATTTAATAAAGAAGAAAACATAGAGGCATGAAAACACGAAAAAAAAGTTCTAAACCATTCTTTAAAACACATCTAAAACAATGTTTGCTGTTTTTTACTGTACAGCACTTTAGTCTGTGGAAATTCTAAAGCTCTTAATGAATAAAATTAGATTTGATTTGATATAATCATTTAATTTCTTGTTAACAGTGAAAAACAATTCAGGTGTGACCCCGGCTGGACAGTGTGGAACATGGGTCAAAGAGTCTAGTGGAGGGTTCTTCACCTCCCCAAATTACCCTGAGAAATACCCACCTGAGAGGGAATGTGTCTACATTATAGAAGGTGAGAGTCGATTCCTGTTCAGTCCTGAACCTCCTTCCTGTTTCCTCAAGTATTCTTCTGCTGCAGCTTCACCTCGGCAGTGCATTGACCTGTTCTTTGATGAGAAATACTCCATTGAGCCATCCTGGGAGTGTCGGTTTGACCACATTGAAATCCGTGATGGGCCGTTTGGCTTCTCTCCAATCATTGGACGGTACTGCGGGCAGGAGAGCCCTGCTTATATCCGCTCCAGTGGGAGGTACCTGTACATCAAGTTTGTGGCTGATGGTGAACTGGAGGCCATCGGCTTTTCAGCCCGGTATAATTTTACACAAGGTGAGTAGGAACCGACAAACTGTTGTGGAAATCTAAAATATAAATTGCACTGTACTTCTTTTATAATGTAGCAAATCAAACATACAGTACAAATGACTTTGACCATTGATTATTTTATGTACTTACTGGAGAAATTTGAAAACAAAGACTTTAAATCTAATATATCTTTAAACAAGGCAGTCTAAAGTAGCCTGGTATTAGCCAGATTGATACACGTAGTTACATTTGAATTCTACACGGTATCAACCTGGAAAGCCTCTTGTAGATTGAGCTCACAAAAGCGAAGGAAGTTCAGAGCAATTCTTCATGCTCATTGGGTACTTGCCTCCCTTCTCGAGTTTTTAGCCAATCACAGCAGCCGTAGCACCTGTGACGTATAACATTCTTGATTTGATCCACAACTAGAGGAGCTAAAAAGTTACAAGGACACCTTGTAACTTTTGGCCACTAGGGACGCTAAACTGGTAACTGCCCTTATTTTGCTTCTACTAAACATCAAAAATAAAATATATGACTGTATACTAGGAGCAAAGGGTTAACTCCGGCTTCTTCTTTCAGCTTGCACCAACGAACAAACTCCTTTCCAAGATCGACTCTTGTTTTTCCTCGGGCATGATCCCTTCCACATTTTCTCTTTTAAGCCTCCCCAGAGGGTTTAAAATTTTTCCTTGCCTCAGCCATGACCAGTAGTCTAGCAGGCAGAAAAATAGTAAAAGCCTTAGCTCTATGACTATATAGGAGCCTGTGGCCGTAAAGTGTTACGTTCTTCCAGGTCACATTTCCTGGCCAACAACGATGCGTCATCTCCTTACTTACATAGGCGGTATTTCAAGAGGGGAGCCCCGCTTGTAGCATTGATAGTGTCAAGCGCAGTATTTTGGCCTAAGGAATCATTTAAAATAACTCATATGCGTCAACTCTTTAGGTCACAAAGTCCATAGTGTGCCTTTAATTGATAAATCTAACTCTTAACAAATGGTCAGGGGGATTGTACAAACAGCTTCCCATCCACACAGGAAAAAACTGCATATTTTTCCTTATTTTCTAAAAAAAAAAAAAGAAATAGAGGGTGTTCCGGCTTGACGATTTGACGTCATACACGTCACTGTATTTCATTGCTCCAAAACATTTCTGTATGGAGGCCAATGCATGTGTTGGCTGCTGGCAAGATGTATTTTCTGGAAATTGGGAATGTAGAAATCTCACAACAATATCTCGAATGCAAGGTAAAGTCTAAAGTCACTTAGAATTACAAGTGAAACTGACAAAAGGTTGGACAGTTAAAGTTGAAATGGTTCTTAAATTTCTCTCTTGTTTGGTTAGACTTATTTTTCTTTCCTCCTTCCTTACTGTCAGGCCCTCATTTCAGTCAAGTGGCATTAACTTATTCTATGGAGAGCAGCTATCCTAAGTGAACCTATTTGGCTTTTGTTATATTCAGGATCTTCATTTTCAGAACAGGTGATATTAGTAAAAGTCAGCCCAGATTTCAGGGTGAGAGAGAGCATAATAAGAAGCCTTCATTAAAAACAAAAAAAATACAACCCACCATGGCAACGGGAGGAAATAAGAAGCCTTCAAGTCCCCATTTCAATTGGAACAAAAACAATTGATGGATATTAATATATGGATATCATCAAAACATTTAACATAAAATGCAACACAGTTCCTGCTGTAAAATAACAAGATTTAGTGTGGTGACCAGCTAATGTGTGAGTGGGTTTTAATAGAGAGTATTTGAATGAAATAAATTACTCTAAAATGTTTTAGGAGCTTTTCTGTCTGCAAAGTTGTGTTATAAAATCAAACTGAACAAAACAATCGAGAGAGAATAAGGCTTTTCTGATTGCTTTAAACACAGTTTGGACTCAGACTCTTGCATCTCAAACAGCAGGTAGGGGCACTCTGCTCTCCACAAATGAAGAAATCTGACATCTCTGGTACATTTTTATCAATTTGATGATCGATCTGACCTAATGGGAATCTGCGCTGTACAGTAACAGTTCTTACATTGTATTTTTGAGCCTACATTTAGTAACACTCCACTCAACTATGATTTAGACACAATATTAGGGTTAGAAATGTTATCACAGTTCAGGTTACATACAGTAACTTGCAAAATTATTCTTATCTCTTAAACTTTTTACATTCAGTCACATCAGAATTCCAATCTTCTCTTAATCATATAAACAGGATTCTTTTCCCCATCTGTTTAATAAAACATTAAATTCTTAAGCCCCTTCAGTTTATCTTGTCAAGGTGCTCTTGAGAGGTGCTGGTGGAGATAAATCTTGACCTTTAGAGCATAATCTGCTCTTTAGTCATTCAGCAGACAAAAAATAATTTCTCATGTTTTCATATGTTATGTTGTTTATATTTAACTTTGACTTTAGTTGTTTTTGTCATTTTAATTGTTCACCTTTATCCATAGTGTTTTAAGATAGAATACCTATAGGATTTAATAATAATTATTATAACCTCCATAATAATGGCTTTGGACCTCATCTTTCTTTTATGGCCACCCACAGACAGCCAGTAGAACATGCAAGCAAACATGCAAATGATAAAATGCAACAATAAAACTTGTGCCATGGCATGCTGCTGATAAAATAATTTGCTCTCTATTTTTGGTAGAGCTACAGCAGCTGCTGCTGGAAGGAGGAGGGGAACACATCCATACACACACGCACCGAAGCACACACGCTTGTTTCCTCCATCTGACGCACATGCAAACACGAGTTAATGAAAGCTTGTCTTCAGGGAATGCAGCTTGTCAGCGCTGAGCCGCTGTAGCAGCTTAAGGGTGTCCGAGGTAGAGGCTGTATTACCCTCAGAGTTTATAGGCCACCTACACCGACAAGGGGCAGGGATTAATCTGCATCCCTTGGTCCATTTACTAAGCTATGTTTTTTAATATATCATTTTTGGCATTGAAATGTCTCCCTTGTTCTTTTTATTGCTTTCTGAAATCCTGAAACTCAGTCAACCCTGCAGGGTTTTTGTTTTATGAAATTGCTACAGTAGCAGCATGAGATTATATGCAAACATTGTATAATTTGGAACAGAGCTTTGTTTTTCTCTAAAGTATTTGATATTCGTTTTCAGCGTTGTTGTTCTGACTGTTTTTTTAAGAGCTCCATGATTTTGGTAGCTCTTTTAAGATTGGAAACATTCATTTTAAAAGACTGCAAACATTATATCGTGGAAAAAATATTAACAGACCCATAACAAGATCTATTCTATTGAGAGGATTTTTTATGTCAGCAAAAAAAAAAAGACCCATAAACAAAAAAGAGAAACGGGAATTTGTGTGTTTATATTGGGTGTAATGAATTGTTTAGGTCAAAGTTAATCTTATCGCTAATTCCACCCATCACATGATGTAGGAATTTGCAAGCACGCATGCTTGGCAACAGAGATGAGCAGTTTGTTTGTGTCGAAAAGGAAAAAGTGAATTGAAATAAAGTTGTGTTGAAGATTTAACAGGCATGCAAACAATATTTTAAAAGCCCTTCAAAGTTAACAGTTCCCACTCTTCTATTTTCACATGCCCTGTTTTGTAATTTTAGCCGTTTTACATAGATAATATTTAAGTGATATGTTATTGTAATTGCACAATTAGGTTTATTAAAAATATGTGTGAGTGTCTGTGAGACAAAGTCATATATAGTAACGGAAGGATAAAAAATAAATGTAACAATAAGCGACTAAGAGCTGTGAAGGGCAGGTAGTCTCTGCCCTGAGGGCTGCAGCAGCCCAAGGCACAGGGATGAAAAGACTAGCAAAAAAAATGAAATACAACTAATGTTGTGTTATTTCACACAAGGTATTAAAAATATTAATTATAATCATATTAATATGATTATTAAAAAGATGTCTATAACTCTGACTAACTGTTTGGGTGTAAAGTTTTATTACTATTTTATTATTCTCTAGAAATAAGACAATTTAATTCAACCAATTAAATCACAGAAGAATAAATTCAGGCAAAAGTACCGGTAATACATTTACTAATCAAACCTTTTTCACACTATAGATATTCCAAAAAAGTTAATAAACAATCCACTGAACTTTGTTTCCAAGTTTGAAGATGTTTCATTTCACATCCAGGAAGCTTTTTCAATTAAAATGTCAGAAACAGCATTAACCATAATGCATCGTGTTTTTTATTTCAGCTTTACAGTTTTGCTCTTGTTTTTGGCGAAAAGCCCTTAATTACCCTGTGTAGTATGTCGCAAATACATGCACACTCACAGATTACTGTACTGTATGTCTTGCTATCCTTATGGGGTTTTTTATTGACTTCCATTCATTTCACATTCAATTCTATATCCTAAATCAGACCCTTACCCTGACTCTATTACCAATGTAAACCTAACCCTAACCTGAACTCAGTTCACACCTTTGTACTAAACCAGACCTTAAAACAGCATTTGTAACCATGGGAACCACGCATTGGTCCCCACTAGAGCAGTTGGTCCCCACAATATGAGAAACACAGGCCTACAAAGACACACACACAAAAATGTATTTGAATAATCTGGCCTCTCCTTCATAAAGGGTAAGAAAGAGAGGATTAATAGACTCCTTGTTGTTTTAAATCTCTTGAGTTCATCATGTGGCCATCCTGCTTTATGACCGCTGGTGTTCTCTGTTCTCTGTCTGTCTGTTTCTCTATATCTCTCTTTGTTTTCTGTCTGTCTGTCTATACATACATACATATATATAATTATGTATTCTTTTTGAACCAATCGCTTCTAAGAGAGGCCACAGTTACAGCAGATGCTGTTTTATCCCCAGGTTAGTAGAAGCCATCGGAACCTAATCTTTTCTGAACTAAGCTGGACGATTGAGATTTTTAATCCACGTCAGAGCCAAGATTTAGGACCCAATATGTGTTCCCTTTTTTTGTTGTTGTTTTTATTATTTTTTTGATGAAAAGCATCAGGGTTTGAGTGCTTGTATGCGGCCAGCAGAATTGTGCCTCTGCAGCATTAGTTAAGCCTTTCAACAGACCTGGTCTATTTATTTTTTGAATTCCTTTTTCCCTTTTCTTAATAAGGTTTGAAGAAAAATGTTTAAAACTACTTGACTTGATTCTAAAAAAAGAAGACAGGAAAGAAAATAAACAACAAAAAAAATTCATGTTTTGCCCAGAAGGAAACCACAGATTCAGATTTTTCGTGTGTGTGTAGCTCTTTATTTGTGTAAAATGTATCTTTAATGAAAATCACATATTATTGTTACTCTGAACACAGTAGTGCCTAACTTCAAGTAGCACTGCAGCTGCAGCTGCACCTCTTTATATTTGTTTACAGAGCAGGGGCTGAAAATATTCCCATTATTATTTTTTTATTTGTTTGTTTCCTCTTTTTGATTTAGAGCCCCAGTATACAACTTGACTAGAACAAAGGATAACACAGTTTTATTTTTTTCACCATCCCCAGCTGTCCTTAACATCCACATGTCCGACCCAATCCTGAGTTGTGCATTACTGTACTTTGAAAGCTGTACGGATGAGATAAGAAAAGTTACAATAAAAAAAAAAAAAACAATATTAATGCTATGCCGATGGTGTTTTCTAGGTTAGGTGGACAGAATTAGGTTTAAGTTGAGCCATACTTTTCTTTTTCATACAATGCTGATTCAACCCCCACCTCATGCTGTGTTCCTTGGTCTTTTTTTACTAGTTGTCCACTAACAATCTTCTGGGCATTCTCAGAGCAGCTTCACTTATAAAGACTAACAGTCTATTCAGGTGACCTCTTAAGGCCGTTTCTCAGAACTTTATTTAGGACTACTGGATTAATAATGACTGGCTGAAGGAAATTGTATGGTACAGTTTCTTTGTCTTTTAAATAAGTAAAACAAAATGTGGTAAATAATGCCTGGTTTTCTTACACTTTATAATTATATGTATACATGTAGTGGTCATTGTTTGTTTCTTCTATAATAATATATATAGCCTACCGTATATATATATTTTTTTTCAGATCCTGAGTTTGACGAAATTGGAGAATTGCCAGTTCTACCAGGTGAGATTTTATTTTACTGGGTAAATTTTAACATATTTGTGCATACAAAATCAGAATTTCACAGAATTATCCTTACTCTGCAGTATTTTTGTTATTAGGGTTTAAGAAATTAGTCAAATTGAACTTGGTTAAATTACAATTTTAAGAATTTAAAGATTGATTGTGAATCTTTATTGATTAATGAAAGCTTACCCTGCATTCATCATGGTTTAGACCACCTTATTAATCTTGACATACACAGATCATTCCAGTTTAGCTCAAATCAGTAAACATATATTTATTTCATGGTGGGAAGGGGCTTTTATTTTGCATGGTTTCAGAAATGTCTTTTCCACACAGCTTGTGACTTTGAGCTAAGTGGTTCAGAGGGCTTTGTAGAATCGATACAGATAAGCAAAGAAGGCAGAGCACAGCTGACTGAAGCAGTGGACTGCAGGTGGTACATCAGAGCCCCGCCTAGAGCAAAGGTGAGCAAACTGTGGCGTCAGATTTCAGAAATGTTCAAAAGGATGTTTTCCACATAAAGATGTAAGTTTGAAATAAATCTACCAATTTCATTTTAAAACTGGCCAGTGGGATTTTTTTTTTTTACATGGGAAGAAAGCTAATTTAAATGGGAGTACTTTTACTATGGGTGGACTTTAATGTTTGAATAGCAGTTCTCAAAATCCATTGCTCTATGTCAGTGTCTTAGAAACTGTGTAATTTAACTTTAACTATTTTTAAAATATATTTTATTTTAGTCTGTGCCTATCTACCTAGATATTTGAATTTTATATCACAGCGAAAGTTGTTTTCTTACCTTAAAAAACATATATACAAAAAATGTCAGGATGGAATTTGAAAAAACAAAAGTTCTCGGGGTTCTCTGTGACAGTAAAAAATGAAGTTATCTGTTTTGCATTTGAGAAAGTGTGTAATGAATGGAAAATTAATCTTGGTTTCCTGGCAACTGCATATGCAATTTGGAGGTGTTTGTGCTCTTTTTTGTTAAAGGCCCAATTTATTCACAGCGATTGTAGATCTCCAAAATTCTCCAATAATTATTGCTTGTTTGTAGAGTCTGGGGTGTTTATTTACCTAATTGGTTTGCCTTTTATTAAACCTTGTCTACAGATCTACATGCGTTTTCTAGAGTATGAAATGCACAACTCAAACGAATGCAAACGCAACTTTGTCGCCATCTATGATGGGAGCAGTGGAGTGGAGCACCTGAGGAACAAGTTTTGCTCCACAGTGGCTAATGATGTCATGCTGGTGACCTCTGTGGGTGTGGTGAGACTCTGGGCTGATGAGGGGAGCAGGAAAAGCAGATTTAAGATCCTCTTCACAACTTTCCATGAACGTAAGTGGCACTCTTTAAATTAATGGGTTCATGTATGGATGAAGAAAAAACAATTATCTGTTTGCAGGAAAGCTGCTTGTCACATTTTTCTCTTAAGTAAGTTATACTATAACTAACTATAGCAGCTCCCTGGGGGATATTAAGGCATAACAGGGACATGAGAGCAACCTTGCCATTTTCTGTCCACAAAATAAAGCAAAAGTGTAACAGTTAAAGTGGGACAACAGCACCACCTGTTGTTTGGTCTGTATCTTTATTCAGTCTTGTTTCATCCTTAGTTTAGACTACAGGGATGTGTTTAGCTAAAACCCTCATATAATTTTTTTAATGTTATACAATGTATAAAATGTGGGGACATTAAAATATTCCGGCTGTTAGAAACCATTACGATTCAAAAATGTTTATTCAAAAAAAAAAAAAAAAAAAAAAAATTCTCTAAGGTAATCCTTATAGAGGTGCATAAAGGAGGGGTTAAAAAATTATTTTCAAAGGGGCACAAGAAAAATTGAAAATCACCACATTAAGTTAACCTATTAATATGAAAACCTATTAAATCTCTTTTGCAAACTAAAATTTTGTGAAATCCCCTGAAATAATTTTAGTGTATTTTTTCTCCACAATATGGCCATGTCTTCCTTCAAGGGGATGTTGCATTTCAGCGTCTGAAATGTGGGCAATATCGCTGCACTGTCTTTTTGATCTTCAGCTTGAAAAGATTATAAATAGTCTAAAATGACATGCTCAGTTTTTAGCAGTCTAGTATTTGCTAGAACTAGTTCTAAATTCAGTTCAGGCAGGTTAAAAGAATGAATAAATGTTTATAGTTCTTCTTTTGCCTTCATATACTATGTATTTTGATGATTAATTAAATATCAAATGCAGATCAAATGGATTTAAAACAAATTTTGTGTTGTATAGCTTTTTGTCTTCAGATAGCGAAAGTTTGTTTTATTGAAAAACAGTCCATTTAGACTGAATTTGGTGTTTCCTTGCAAAAAGACATTTTGTGTTTATGCACATTGGCAAGCAAAGTAAACAAAAGTTAAGCAGCAAGTTCTCACTGTGCAAGAAAAATAGTCTTGTTGGTCTTTTTTTTATGCTTCAAAAGTCCAAAGCTGGCCAATAAAGCACAGTCTCTTCGTTATGCCTGAATGTCGTGTTTTTCAATGAAAGGATGTGTTTCTCTCATTTCAGGTTTGTCACCTGAATAGCAGCATGATCAGTTAGAAGTTTATTTTCAAATGTGAGCTCCACTCATTTACATCAGTGCTAAAGGATTTTGTCAAAAATCCCAGTTTTAAATTTTTTCAACCAAAATTGTGATTGCGATTTTATTTTGAAAGTTTAGGGCTTCATTATCTTGAAAGCTTCCTTGTCCAGAGTTAGTTGTCAGAGGAATTTTACTGGTGTGTGGAAAACTTCTTATTTCTACTCCCATGGTCTGCACACTAACATCAGCTCTCTCAACCCTTCTGTTTGGTGGCAAACCAAGTTTAAGCATATTATCATCACCTAAGGGGCTGGGGTGAGAAAGTCTCTTGTTAGTATGGTTATATGTGATGTGAAGAAAACTAATCTATGGGATTTGAAAAATGCAAATTTTTTCATTAGACCCTGATTATCCACTGCACCTACAGTATTGTACTGTATTGTAATTGTAAGAAATAACATTTCCGTTCTGTGCATTCCGAAAATATTTTTAAATCTTTCTACAGTTTATTGGTTGTCCATTGTCTACCTTTTGTTGTAGCTCCATGTGAGGGAGACTCCTTCTTTTGCCACAACAACATGTGCATCAACAATACACTTGTCTGCAATGGTGTCCAGAACTGTGTTTACCCATGGGATGAGAATCGTTGCAAAGGTATGCTGATTGTTGATGCAATGCGTCATTGCTACTTCCATCCTCCTGACTTATTTGTTGTGTCCTTAACTAGAAAAGAGAAAGGCCAGCATTTTGGATACGCTGGACAACACTAACCTCACAATCATTGGAGTAACCTGCGGCCTGGTTGTCATCCTGCTCATTATTTCTTTCATCATTCAGATCAAGCAGCCTCGCAAGAAATATGTCATCCGCAGGTAATAGATGTTAAGCCAATAATTATACAGAAGATTCATGGTGAGTGATGGAAATAACATTTCTCCCATATGATTTTACTCTGACTTGGATTTCACCAAGCAAGATGCTACATAGAATTATGTACAATGTGTTTGTTGTTTGTGACCTAGAATAGTGTAAATAGCAGTACATGAGTAGGAAGGTTTTAATATTGCAAATCAAATTATTTTCCATTAAAATAAAGATATTTTTATTTGATTCTATGAAAAAGAAGATGAATAACAGACTTGTTTTGCCGTTTTTTTTTGCATCCACAGAGATGACTTTGATCCAGCTCTCCTACAGCCTAGTTTTGAACCCCCACACTATGAGCTTTGTACCATACGTCGGGCCCCTTCTGGTGACTTGACTGATGCCGCACTGGCAGACGACTTCGAAAAGTTCCACAAATTAAGGCGCTCAGAAAGCAAATGCATCCGCGACCACCACTGCGGCTCTCACCATGGCAGCATCCATGGCAGCATCCACGGTAGCCGGAGCAACCTGAGCCTGAGGGATGCCACGATTGCACCTGATGGGGGGCCTACTATACCTCCGATGTCACCGATGATGGTGAAGCAAATGTCTCCGCACGTCTCTCACCATAACACTCCGGCAGGTCGACGGAGCATCCTGGTCATGAAGCATAGCTACTCACAGGATGCAGCAGAAGCATACAGGGCAGAGGACGAAGAGGATGATTTAATGATGGATGTTGGTCCAACCACCAGCCAGCACCACATGCACCACCACCAGATTCATCATGGCTCTTCAGGGTTAGACCACGTTTTCCATCGTGCTCTGTCAAATGACTTCTAATTTATTGCAAACAGGATAGAAGTTTCATCTCAAATGATTTTTTAAAATTCAAAAATGTATAAAAAAAAAAAGAGGACATTGTAGCCTTTTCTTTTTAATAGGCTAATTTGATTTAATGACCTAATTAATCTAATTTAATAACTTAATTCTGATCCTTTTTGAGTGTGTCTTCCTCAAACCCATGTTTGGCATTCGGTGAATGGAAAGACCATGCAGTCTTACTTATTAAGGAGGTTTTTACTAGTGTCACGCCAATGCCATTTTTTGGGCCCGATACCTGGCTGTGCAGTAATTAGCTGATACCATACCGATACCATCTGCTTGAAATAGATGTGTGTCTGTGTATATATGAAGAACTACATACTGGGTGTAAAATAATTGCCATCATGGCTTTGTCAAGCTGCTGCCTACCTACCTTGCAAAAAACTAATACAAAGCGAATCTAGTAGAACGTTTTATTGCCTACCTGGAATGGGTGACAATAGTTGAATAAAATTTTGGCTCTCAAAATGGTATTGGTGCCGTATTTGTTGGTACTCGCCGATACCGATACCACCATTTTTATGCTGGATCGAATGAAATTAATGAAAGATTATTTTTTTTCATCAAAGTAAAACTAAATGTTCTAGTTAATGTTAGACACCATGCGTTTCCACTCTGTTATTTATTTATTTGATTAAAGCTACAGTGTGTAATAATTACAGGGATATACAGTCAGAAATGTAATATATTATACATAACTATGTTATTTATCATCATCTACGAGCTCGGCCTCTTAACCTTAATATTTGCGTTGCCTTAGAATTCGTTATTTATAATTACATAGGAGCGGGTCTCGCAGCCATGGAGGCAGACATCTTTGCGCTACGGCAGCGCAGAGCCAACAAACTAGCGATTGCGAGATCGCCAAAACGTCACAACGATGTAGAAAAAATAACGGGTATATTTATTATCTTAAGTCTACATGAAATATATACCCTACACAGACTAATGAAATACTATCTGTAAAATTATCTATGTAAACAAACCTCATCACTTGAGAAGGTAGGTGATGCGGACGTCGTGGAAGACATTTTGTCCCGTAACGCTCGCCGTACTGTTGGGGGGAGAAGCGGTGGGGGGAGATGTTCATGTTGCTGCAGTCTGCAGTCTGACCGCTAGATGTCGCTAAAAGTTACACACTGTAGCTTTAAATATTTCACTAAAAGTAAGCAGTGCATTGTTTTTTATTCCTGCCTTCATTTTAATTTTGACAGTGTGTGCTATCCACTTGAAATCAAGCTCAGACATCAATTATTGTTGAAATGCATTTCTAAGCCCTTTATTGTTGCGTTACTGTGGTTTATAGAGGAAGTTATGTTGATGGCGGTCTGCAGTGGCGTACAAAAAAAAGTCACTTAATGTTTCAAAATGTTTTCATGTCACAACCATTGACATCTTTGTATTTTACTGAGATGTTATGTGATTAACCAAAAGAAAACAGTAAAACATCATGGAAATTTGTAATTGAAATATTCTAAAATTCTAAAAATGTGTTGCACATTTGTACCCAGTCCCCTTTACTCTGACACCCTTAAATAAAGTATAGTGTGACCATTCTTTTCAGAGCTCATTTTAAACCTAATATAAATATGTCTGCTTTGTGAATGCATATTTTTTTTAAAGAAATTAGTAAAACATCCACATGAAGCTGGGAAACACACTAGCAAGGTAACAATTAATGCTCAACATTTCAGGGTTTTGTATATAAAACACCATTATAAGGTCTTCATATTTTCACCTATCATTTAATTTTTTTTAAAATAGAGTAAGTCTAGTAATCTGGTAAATCTACAAGGAGATGATTGTGCACTAACAGGATGGCTAAAGAGATCATTAGCAAGAGAAGCAGCAATGAAACCAGAGCAGCTGCAGATCCGTATATTAGCTTAGTTAATCTGTTCAAAGAAGTGGTATTAGTTGTGCACTCCCCAATCTGACCTTTTTGAGAGACAAAATGTTCCCTTTTAGGCCTATGTGCAAATCATAAGGCATGTAGAATGGCAAACAAATTCATTGCCAGAGGTAAAGAGCTGGTAGAGAGACATACCCCAATAGAGAGATAGCTCTAATTGTAGCAAAAGGAGTATGCAGGGGCACCTCGTGTGCTTGCCGTGAGGTTGCCACTAGCCCCCTTTGTGTGTGAAATGATTGATTGATATATATATATATATATATATATATATTATTTTTTTTAACTATTTGACTCAAATCTGCATTGAATTAGACACACATTTACAATGTGCTTTATATACATCATCGTGGACCTTTTCCAACCAGGAATTTGTTTTTTTTTTTTCCATTCCTTCCTATATTTCTGCATTCTTTTTATTTTCGAAGGAGGATCATCGCTATGCGAAGGTGCACTTCCCGCAAAAGCCGCGTGAGCATTTAAATTACTCCGTTCGTACCTCTGTTGTCTCCCGCTATCTTCTCCGTGAGCAACACTTGGCTCAACCAATGGGATGAGGCTATTCTTGATCGTCACGTGTACGTTGTCAGCTCTTGGTCACAAAGCAGGACAGGGCTCGGGAACAAGTTTACCGTAAGTTTTGTACCTAACGTGCCCTTGTTCTTCATTTTCCATGAGCTTTTTACTATTTTTTTTTACTCTCATAGCAATACGGGACAAAGTGCGTATCCTTTCCACTAAATACGGGACTAGATACAATTCAGTTTTTAAAGGGAAGGTTGGCAACCCTAAATATGGACCATAAACTTTGATATCAGACAGTGATGTTTTTGTCGTATAAAGCAATACAGGTGCTGGTCATAAAATTAGAATATCATGAAAAAGTAGATTGATTTCAGTAATTCCATTTAAAAAGTGAAACTTGTATATTATATTCATACATTACATACAAACTCATATATTTCAGATGTTTATTTTGTTTAATTTTGATGATTACAAATGACAACAAATGAAAATCTCAAATTCATCATATCAAAAAATTAGAATATTACTGAAGACCAATAAAAACAAAGGATTTATAGAAATGTTGGCCAACTGAAAAGTATGAACATGAAAAGTATGAGCATGTACAGCACTCAGTATTTAGTTGGGCCTCCTTTGGCCTGTATTACTGCAGCAATGCGGCGTGGCATGGAGTCGATCAGTCTGTGGCACTGCTCAGGTGTTATGATAGCCCAGGTTGCTCTAATAGTGGCTTTTAGCTCTTCTGAATTGTTGGGTCTGGTGTATTGCATCTTCTTCTTCACAATACCCCATAGATTTTCTATGGGGTTAAGGTCAGGAGAGTTTGCTGGCCAATTAAGAACAGGGATACCATGGTCCTTCAACCAGGTACTGGTAGCTTTGGCACTGTGTGCAGGTGCCAAGTCCTGTTGGAAAATGAAATCTGCATCTCCAAAAAGTTGGTCAGCTGCAGGAAGCATGAAGTGCTCTAAAACTTCCTGGTATGTGGCTGCGTTGACCCTGGACCTCAGAAAACACAATGGACCAACACCAGCAGATGACATGGCACCCCAAACCATCACTGACTGTGGAAACTTTACACTGGACTTCAAGCAACGTGGATGAAGTGCCTCTCTTCTTTTCCTCCAGACTCTGGGACCTTGATTTCCAAAGGAAATGCAAAATTTACTTTCATCAGAGAACATGACTTTGGACCACTCACCAGCAGTCCAGTCCTGTTTCTCTTTAGCCCAGGCAAGACGCTTCTGACGCTGTCTGTGGTTCAAGAGTGGCTTGACACAAGGAATGCGACAGCAGAAACCCATGTCTTTCATACGTCTGTGTGTGGTGGTTCTTGAAGCACTCACTCCAGCTGCAGTCCACTCTTTGTGAATCTCCCCCACATTTTTGACTGGGTTTTGTTTCACAATCCTCTCCAGGGTGCGGTTATCTCTCTTGCTTGTACACTTTTTTCGACCACATCTTTTCCTTCCCTTCGCCTCTCTATTAATGTGCTTGGACACTGAGCTCTGTGAACAGCCAGCCTCTTTAGCGATGACCTTTTGTGTCCTGCCCTCCTTGTGCAAGGTGTCGATGGTCGTCTTTTGGACAACTGTCAAGTCAGCAGTCTTCCCCATGATTGTGTAGCCTATAGAACTAGACTGAAAGACCATTTAAAGGCTTTTGCAGGTGGTTTGAGTTAATTAGCTGATTAGAGTGTGGCACCAGGGGCCATCAATTTTGAACCTTTTCACAATATTCTAATTTTCTGATATGATGAATTTGAGATTTTCATTTGTCGTCATTTGTAATCATCAAAATTAAACAAAATAAACATCTGAAATATATGAGTTTGTATGTAATGTATGAATATAATATACAAGTTTCACTTTTTAAATGGAATTACTGAAATCAATCTACTTTTTCATGATATTCTAATTTTATGACCAGCACCTGTAGATATCCTTTAGGAAGGCCTTATTGTGAAGTTTTCTAAGACGAAATAAGAAGGAAAAGCGTAAAGAGCCATAAAACTTGGGACTGTTTGCGAAACCTATTCTAAGCCAGCAGGTGGCAGGCGTGTACTTCACACGATGAAAGTAGAGCAAAATAAAATAAAGAAGAACAAAACTGTTTTTAAACGTTTTATTTAATGTTTACAGAAGGGAATTTATTGTTGTAAATTATTAGGTTAGGTGCTTCTTTTTTTTTTTTTGCCTAAATGAATAGTTGCTATCTCGTTGCTAACTCGTCCTAACTATCGTTGTTTATGGCGTTTAGCTGATGCTAGCTGACTTTAGCTATAGCATCATGTCACAGCAGGAGCTGTTCCCAGACTCTGCTCAGCAGGGACCTGCTAGTGATGAAAGGCGCAGTAGAAGTCGTTTAGGACTGGTCATCACAGGGGTTGTTGGAGGCTCCCTGGTCGCTCTCTATGCGGTGGCTGCCCCGTTTGTCGCTCCTGCCCTCAGAAAAGTCTGCCTCCCGTTTGTCCCTGCCACCACGGCTCAGGTGCAGAACGTCCTGAAGGTCCTGCGGTCCAGGTCAGGGACTCTGGTGGACATCGGAAGCGGCGATGGAAGGATAGTAAGTGATCAGTCCTGACACCCTGATAGTGTCGCAGGCTTTTTCCCTCATAAATCCCAATTTTCAGTTTCATTGAAATCTATCAGCAGCAGATTTGTTTCTCATAATTAAAAAGATGTGATTTCAACCGGAAGTTCATATTTATTTTTTCTTTAATTATATGTACAAATGTACTGGTAGCAGTTGAAGACGTCCCTTACATTTCTGAATGTTTAGATTCTGGGCTCCTTTTTTATTGCTATAAAAATTATTATTTTAATTAAAACTGTGACGGGGAATATAATACTTTACAATGAAAAAAATATGTTCTTTGTTTTATTTTAAGCATTTTCAATTCTTGACATAAAGCCATAAAGTATTTCTACTTGCGCCAATGTTTTGCCTTATTAAGCAAATGCTGATAAAGCAAAATATATATATATATATATATATATATATATATATATATATATATATATATATATATATATATATATATATTATTTTATTTATTTAGTTGTTTTTTTTTTTGAGACAATAGTAAGGAACCCAACTTAATCTTTGTTTAAGCATGCATACAAGTTGTTTATTAATCAAAACTTATGGGGTTTATTTTTTGGCAGCTGATGATGATAATTGATGATTTAGCAGCCCTCATTAGACTATGGGGTTAGTTTCAAATCAGGAAAGACCATTAAGAAACTCTGATTTATAGGTCATTCTAAAACTTTTATTCCATAGATACAAACTGGTTAATAGTGCTAACTTTGAGCACCGCCTATAGAACACACAGAAAGCTTAAATGAGCTAAGAAACTGACATAAACAAATAGCAGAGTAGTAAAAAAAAAAACCTTGATTGGTGTTTAAACCTTGTCCCAAATTTAAGGCCTGATCACCAAGTAATTGCATTTATAAATAAAGTAAATTGAGCTACAGAATATGATTATTTAAATAATAGATTCCTCAAATCCTGTTTTGCCAGCAAATGGATTTACTTTCTATTAGGGAAAAAACTGCAACTTTTTACCTTTGCTGATGCACAGCAAAGCGCTGATTCATTTTTTTTTTATCTTGCAGGTGATAGCAGCAGCAAAGTGTGGATTTCAGGCATCTGGTTTGGAGTTAAACCCTTGGTTGGTTTGGTATTCTCGCTACAAGGCCTGGAGAGAAGGAGTTCACCGCTCTACTTCCTTTTATATTTCCGATTTGTGGAAGGTACGTGTATCCTGATTAGAGAATCGCATATGAATAGCCATTTAGTGTAACAAAAATGTAAACAAATTCTGTTCTTTTGACAGGCTAGTTTTGCTCAATATTCCAATGTTGTTATTTTTGGAGTTCCTCAAATGGTGAGTTCAGCTGTATAACACACAATAAAGACACTGGCTAACAGGTAACATTGCCAAAGTGATAATTATTGCTTATGCTTGTCTCAAAAACCCTAATTATATTTGTGTTTTTTTTTTTTTTTTTCTGTCTGCAGATGGATCAGCTGGAGCTTAAGTTGGCAAATGAGCTGCCCAGTTCAGCCAAAGTGGTTGCCTGCCGTTTTCCCTTTCCAACATGGGTTCCTGAAAGCACCGAGGGGGAAGGCATAGACACTGTGTGGGTGTATGATGCCAAAACATTTCAATCAGCTCTGAACAGTGGGAAGACAAGAAACACATCATTAGAGAATAAACCAGATCCTCATAAATGAGATAGTGGGTTCCTGCATGGACAACAGATTTTCAAGATATCTTTTAATAGAAATAAGACCACATCAAAGCTGTACCTGTCACGATCACAGTACTACTGTCCATCAATTGTTTTATGGTTTGTCGGTTTTGTTATAATAAAAGAAAATCTGTCATGAAATGAGTTTTGTAGCTGCTATTTGCTGCCATCTAGTGGCAAATACACTGTACTGTCACGTGTCGTTCCGTTGAGTATGCATGACCGCTAGCCGATTATGTATCAAGAAAAGCTGTAGAGAAAATGTTAAATGCACGGTAACATGTCCGGTTTAACGTAACATTGTACTAAAATGTTTACTCGGAGTTAGTTAACGGCTTACGCTTTTATCCCCACTGTCGGGCTGTTGGAGTGGAGCAAGGCTGCTTAGCAGCCAGCCAAGATGGATACCGCAGAGGAAGGTAGCTAACGTTCAACTTAAAATATCTATTTTTATACTGTAAAGTATTACGGTGTTATGATTAAAACACAGCGTAATATATTCTGAGAAGGTCTCAACCAACGACCATGGCATACTATGTTTTTATGCCCTATGAAATTATGAAAAACGACTGATACTTAGGAGACCGTTAGCCAATTATTGTTAGCAGCTAACGGGTATTAGCATTCTGTTAGCTCTAACTGTAAACAGGTTGTTGCCGTTGGGCATTTTGTAACGTGATATAAAATTCCCAAATGTCAATTTGTGACAGCATACTGTTCAGAAAACACATTTTAAATGTTCTTTGTGGCAATTTAAATAATTTATATTTATTTTTAAAGATAACGTTGGTTAAATTGCACCGTTATTAGCAGTTATTCGATTGTGGGGAGCAAGCTAGCCTTACATTAGGGTAATGATTAGTTAATGCTGTTTATCCTTTCCGAACCTAGGATAGTTTAGATTTATGGTAACCATACACTGCCTTTTTCTCACAAATTCCGATTTCCAAACTATATTTTGTTTTACAGCCCTTTGTAATTATGTAATCGCTCTAAACGTTAATAAATGGTAATAAATACACTGTCAAGTTAATGGTTTTATTTAGCACAGGGAGACACTTTAAATGTTAACACGCAGCCGCTTCATCGGCTAATTATAGTTATTTTATTTTGGTCACTGAAATACAAATATAATCCAAGGATTACAGTTGGCGCTGTTGCGCTGGCCTCTCCTGTCAGTCTTATCTTTTTAAAATGTAACAAAGTTTCTCCACATCAGGTCTTCCAGTTCTTAAATGTTAACTTTTCAGGTCTGGAATAAGGTTTAATTTACCAGAATTTATTTCTCTCTCATGTATATAATAAGACATGAAACACATTTTTTTTTGTCTTTGATTCGCCAGTCACACCTGAATTTTAAAGCAGTATTAACATAGGCGTAGCCAGAAAAGTTTTCTAAGGGTGGCCAGGCAATAACCAATGTACACTAAGGGGTGGCAGAAAGAGGATCGGCGCCAGAACCTCAGGGTCAATCTACATTGTTCCAACAGGAAAATTAATGACTAAAACATCCATATTTTCTAAATAAAAACAAACTATCCTCTCCCACAGCCTTTGCTAACAAGTATATTTATTCATCCGTGCTTCCTTGATAAAAGGTATAGTGGATACAATTCTTTCAGGTTTGAGCTCTGGGAGCGAACATCTTTTCCATTGTCATTACTTACCTACTTTAATCAATAATCATTCTGCCAAAAATGTATATTTGCAAGTACTAATATCTACATAAATTGATTATTTAATACGCTTTTATTAAAATAGTTATCTATGATTTCACTGAATACTCCTATATGAATTGCAGAGAACATCATTTTCTCTTTACCCCATGTAACTCAAAATGTAGTTCAGACTGTTGCCACAGTTTGTATTAGAGAGAAAAAAGTAGGGTCGGCCACAGGGGTAGCCAATCATTGGCTGATGCAACGTTCATACCAAGAGCAGCAAGAGCCGCAAAAACGCATGTGCTGCTTCATTTTTGATGCTTGTACAAGTTTAGTTTAGGTTTTCTGCTCCAGCTGCGTGATGGAAAAAGTGGGTCTGATGCGGAGCTACCCTATCCTTTCTTTGCCTGGCAGCTATATATGCTGTGATCAGTGGGAATAAAGTAGTAATAAAGCAAGAAAGACCACCTGAAAACTTTATCTGTGCAGTCAGTTCATCCAGATTACCATCCTGCCTTCAAATATTTCTCTGTCGGAGCCGCTCAGACCCTCACATACCGGCAGTGCTCTGTCAGTAGGAATCCCATTCAATTCAATTCAGTTTATTTATATAGCGCCAAATTCACAACACATGTCATCTCAAGGCACTTTACAGTTCAACCAGATCATACAGTCAAATTGATACAAAGTTTTCTATCTAAGGAAAACCAGTTGATTGCATTGACTCAAATACAATCCCTCACACTAAGCATGCTGGTAGCGACAGTGGAGAGGAAAAACTCCCTTTTAACAGGAAGAAACCTCCAGCAGAACCAGGCTCAGTGTGAGCGGCCATCTGCCGAGGCCGACTGGGGTTCAAGGAGACAGAAGCAGAGATACAAAAAGCAGCTGTAAAAGGCGGCCCCGTCCAGGAAACACACAGCCAGGCAGACAAGCTCCAAGGCAGCTCCCATGCCAGAGGACGAAGAGAGCACATCCAGCCAGTCACGGTCAGAGAAACAGGACCACTCTGGAAAACAGGCCGATCTCCAACATCTATAAACAAGGGTGTTGATGGAAGCAGCACAGCTGATGTTTCTTTCCAGGATGACGTCACAGCCAAACAGGAACAGACGAGGCAAAGCTACTCTGAGGAAAAGCAGAGAGAACAGAAGGTTAGAGATTGAACTAACAGATTCTGCAGTTAGGAGAACAGAGAGAGAATGAAGCAGAATGATGAAATGGGGGTCCCTATGTCCTCGAAAAGTCTAAGCCTATAGCAGCATAACTATAGAGATAGCTCAGGATAACCTGAGCCACTCTAACTATAAGCGTTATCAAAAATGAAAGTTTTAAGTCTAGCCTTAAAAGTAGACAGGGTGTCTGCCTCACGGACTAAAACTGGTAGTTGGTTCCACAGGACAGGAGCCTGATAACTAAAAGACCTGCCTCCCATTCTACTTTTAGAAATTCTAGGAACCACTAGTAAACCTGCAGATTGAGAGCGAAGTGCTCTGTTAGGAACATAAGGAACAATCAGATCTCTGATATAAGATGGAGCTTGGCCATTTAAGGCTTTATATGTGAGAAGGAGGATTTTAAATTCTATTCTTGATTTAACAGGAAGCCAATGAAGAGAAGCCACGATAGGCGAGATATGATCTCTCTTTTTAATTTTCATTAGAACTCTGGCTGCAGCATTTTGGATCAGCTGAAGGCATTTAACTACAGTTTGTAGTTTCTCAAGAATTTTGGATAAGAAAGGAAGATTGGATATAGGTCTATAATTGACCAAGTCATCTGGGTCAAGAGACGGTTTCTTAAGCAGAGGTTTAATTACAGCAACCTTAAAAGCTTTAGGTACATATCCCTGTAACAGAGATAGATTAATCACATCTAAAATGGAGGAGGAGATCAAAGGGAATACCTCCTTAAATAACCTGGTTGGAACTGGATCTAACATACAAGTTGAAGGCTTAGATGAAGACAATAATTTTGCTAATTCAGAAAGTTCAACTGGATCAAAGCAGTCTAAACCCGGTTCAGATTCCATGACTACCTCAGGTACAATCGCGGATAGAGGAGTGCTTATGATTTTATTTTTAATAAGATCAATCTTATTTATAAAGAATCCCATAAAATCATTGCTGCTAAGAACAGGTGGAATGGACGGTTCAACAGAGCTATGGCTCTGGGTGAGTTTGGCAACTGTATTAAAAAGAAATCTAGGATTATTCTTATTCTCCTCTATTAATGAGGAGAAGTATGCTGCTCTTGCTTTACAAAGGGTCCTCTTATACAGCATTAAACAATTTTTCCAGACTAGGAAGGACTCCCGCAGGCCTGTGGAGCGATATTTTCTCTCCAGTTTCCTAACATTTTGCTTCAAAGTACGCAGCTCTGCATTAAACCAAGGAGCAAGCTTTCTATTTTTAACGGTTTTCATTTTCAAAGGAGCTGCGTTGTCTAAGGCAATACGCAGAGAACTAGCAACCCCATCAACAAAATCATCAACCTGTGAAGGGGAATAAGCTATGCTTTTGCACTCTGCAGCACTGCTCAGCGACACAGAGGAGAGAGAAAGTGAAGCAGATTCTTTAAAATTTATAACTGCACTATCTGATAAAGATCTACTAAAATTGAACCTTCTTTTGGGGGAGGAGAACTCTGTTAAAGTAATCCTGAAGGTTATTAGAAAGTGGTCAGAGAGGACAGGGTTGTGAGGAAATACTGTTGTTTCTTCACATTCTATGCCGTATGTCAGCACAAGATCCAAAGTATGAAGATGAGAATGTGTGGGACTATTCACATTTTGAACAAAGCCAATAGTGTCTAAGATAGCATTAAAGGCTGCTCTTAAGCTATCGCCTTCAATGTCAGCATGGATGTCAAAATCTCCCACTATGATGACCCTGTCAGTATTTAATACCAAATCAGAAAGGAACTCTGAAAACTCATCTAAAAATTCAGAGTAAGGACCTGGTGGACGATACAAAGTTACAAAAAGAAGAGGTTTTCTTGCCTTGAAATTTGGATCAGGGAAATTAAGGGTTAAATGTTCAAAAGAGTTGTAGGTATTAACTGTTTTGGGAGTAATCAGTAAGTCAGACTGGAAGATTGTTGCTACTCCTCCTCCTCGCCCAGAACTTCTGGGTATGTGAAAATTTAAATAGCTTGAAGGAGTTGCCTCATTTATGCTCACATAATCCTCTTGCTGAAGCCAGGTTTCTGTAAGGCAAAACAAGTCAATGTGATTATCACAAATCAAGTCATTAACTAGTAGACTTTTAGGGGAAAGCGATCTTATGTTAAACAGACCGCATTTAATTGTTTTAACTTTTTCCCCAATTGGAGTTATTTTGATTTTAATTAGATTATCATGATTTACTCCTTTGGGAATCTTTGCTAATTTATTAGATTTTGGTCGTGGACATAATCACAACATTCAACAGCAGCCTCTGGCGTGGTTGCATCCTGGCGGTTTGCCACGGCGGCTGGAAAGCATTTTTCATGTACGAAATCCAAACTGCAGGCATCAGGATAGTAAAAGTGAACATGTTTTGCTGGCAGATTTCGGCATTTTAAGTTAATTTAGGCGTTAATAAACTGTTTCAGAGGAGTGATCATAGTGATCTGTATCATTAGCGACGTGTCTCTCTCCCTGCCAGCTCCCAGATCAGCTTTTCTGACTGGTTGATATGGCATGTCTAGTATGCGGGTCAGATGCTCAAACGCTCACGATGCGCTGCTTCAGCTGCTCAAAACGCGCTGCGGAACATTTTGCTGCGCCTTGACACGTGTCAATCATTGTCTTTGCATGTAAACTAGCTGCTCCTGCTGCCTTTCCTGCTTCTGGTGTGAACGTAGCGTAAGGGTGGCCATGGCCACCCCTGGCCCCCCCATCAAGCTCCGCCCCTGGATATTAATAAGATGTTATGTGTTTTTGAATTATTAATTACATACACATAAAAACGATAACAAATCACTAAAATGTATCTAATATTGGAACAATAGAAACATTTATACCTCACATGTTATAAGCAAATTAAAGAAAACACATTGAATTTGGGGTAAAATTATCTCTGATCTATAGAGGAAACCCACAGTTAAGTCTTTTTAGTCATGCATTTAGTAAGCCTCTGCTGATTGTGTTTAGGAAATCTGAAAGAACCGATAAGAGAACAGTGCAGCCCTAGAGTGATCCTGATTAGATATCTAAAACATTACTAATTAGTGTTTTATTTATCCATTTTACAGCGGATATATGTAGAGTATGTCGCTCAGAGGGCACCCAGGAAAAGCCGCTCTACCATCCCTGCGTTTGCACTGGCAGCATCAAGTTTATCCATCAGGAATGGTATGACAGTGAACCTTTATATACTGTAATAATTATCTATTAAGATCAGCCAATTTCTGTTGATCCTAATGTCAAACTGTTACTTAAAAAAGCATGAATCATTTTGAAAGTCAAACCCAAAATGTAAAAACAAGAATTCTCTGTTGAATAGAGTAAATTGTCTTTGCACACTAACCTGTATAATGAGAGTAATCTCATCATCTTGTCTTTTGTCTTCACAGCTTACTGCAGTGGCTAAAACACAGTAGGAAAGAATACTGTGAATTATGCAAACACAGGTTTGCTTTTACACCAAGTGAGTTCTGCAACAGTTTTGCAAAGATGAACAGCGTTTACAACTCATTAACTTTTTTCAGATCTGAACACATAATCACAAATTGAGTGGATAGAGAGCAGCTGTAAAAAGTCTGTAACAACAACTTTGGACCTGCAGAGACATTGCTGTCTGCCTAAACTGAACAGCCAAAAAACTAAGCTTTAATCAAGTAACATTAGTGAACACAGTGTTATGGAGACAAAGGAACATACCTGACAGTGTAGTGATAAATCCTGCTTAAAGCTTGCCACAAGTGATGTGGAGGACCGAAACATAGAGAAAAAGAAAGGTCTCTCACTAGAAGACACCAAAGTTGAACATAATGGGACACATGTGAGACACAATTAGCCTGATCACACTTTTTCCATCATACTAAGATGCTTTTTTTTAATAGCGGGAACAGGAAAGGTGTCGAGAGTCTATGGGAAGACTGAGCTAAAAAAATGGAAAATATTGAATAAAACCATTTTTAGAGGCTACAAAACACTTAAGATGGGAGTGGAAGTCCACCTTTCCACAGGACAACGCCCTCAAACCTACACCCTTAGCTGCAATTTTGTTAGACCAGGGCAGGATTCATGTGTTAGAGTGGTGCAGTCAATTTAGGACCAAAGGCCAACTGCAGCTACTTACAGATGCTCTCCCTCTTACCCTGATACGTTTACTAAATCTGTTAAAGTTTGTATTATGATAGAATTTGAATGAATTCATGAGCCTTTATTAGTTGGCTTTAACACATTTAGGTAAGAAAAGACATCCTAAGTGAGCGATCACAGCTATTGTTACCTATTCTCTCCAGTCTACTCCCCAGACATGCCATCTCGTCTACCTGTCCAAGACATTTTTGCAGGGCTGGTCACCAGTATCGGAACAGCCATCAGATACTGGTTTCACTACACACTTGTCGCCTTTGCCTGGCTAGGTGTTGTTCCTCTCACAGCATGTAAGTCCCCAAAACAAGCAGTCAAAACATAAATAAACATAACATAAAGCTTTTACTATTTTAACATAACCAAAGAAAACCTCTCATGTTTTTTTGTGTTTTTTTTTTTAACTGGCATTTCATCTTTTTGTTTGTTTTCCTGGCAGGTCGCATCTACAAGTGTTTGTTTACCGGCTCTGTGAGCTCTCTCCTTACCCTGCCATTAGATATGCTTTCCACGTAAGTCTCTGGCCTTGGGTTTGTCTTTCTATTTCGGGCTGATGTCTTCACAGACCTTTGGGTTTTTGATCTCTGTAATACCAGTTATATAATTGGTATTTGGATGCTTTAAATAAATGTGACCATTTTTAAGGGATCTCTGAAATAGCTATGAGTGGAAAAAGTGATACTAATGAAATCATTATCTTTTTGGTTTCTGGTTGTATTTGCAAGCATGCAAGATAACAAATGTATAATACGGCCTGTTTGTCCACAGAGGGCAGAGTAATGATAGTTCAATTCCAGTACCCTCCCACAGTAGAAACCCCAAGATTTGTTGGTGTATATTTTGCAGCATGGATTGTGGTTCTGTTGTTTATATCTTTCTTTTTTTTATATGTTTTTTTATTTCTGCTTGTTATACCACACTTAAATTCTTTTAGTTGCATTCTGCTGAGGTCTGGAACTATAATTATATAACTATAATTTCTCATCTAAACGATTTATTAGAATCTTTGATGATTAAAAACTCCAGAAACTAAGTGAATTGACAACATCTTATCTTTGCTATTTTTCTTCTTTATATTCTTCTCCCATTGGATCATTGATGAATTTGAAGAATATGATTAAATGCAGTTATTACGAGATGTTTAGTGATATAAATCATACTTTATATAACTGGTTTTCAGGGTGTGGTAAATAGTAAAAACTATGCTTTTAGCTAAGAAAGACTGATAAGAACTAAGGTTTATTTTTATAATTGTCATTATCATGATAATATTATCCAATATCATGATAAGCTTTTACGTGCAGGTCGCCCAGCCCTAGAAACCATTATGGACTCTGGAGAGTTAAACATATTGGATTTTAACTCTTTTCACTTGTCTTAAATCCTGCTCAAACATGAAGATATGAAGGTTTTTTTCTCACTGCTCCTTTCATCCCTGTTTTCACCTTGTCACTGCCTTCTGTTATCTTGTATAAATAGAGAGATAATAACATACATTCGAACCTTTTACTTTTTTACTTGCAGCCAGAACCTGCTCGCTGACTGCCTCCAGGGCTGCTTCGTGGTCACTTGCACGTTGTGTGCCTTTATCAGTCTGGTGTGGCTTAGAGAGCAGATTGTCCATGGTGGAGCCCCACAGTGGTTAGAGCATAATCAACCCCCCCTGGTTCCGAACCAGCCTGATGGTCCTGCACAAGCTAATGAGGTGAGCTCAGTTTGCTGAAAGTCTGCTAGATTCCTGGTCAATTTTCCTGCACGTTGAATGACACAGAAATGTCTACAACAAATCCTCTATTATTCAAAGTTAGGTTTTGCTGCCGAACCAGAACTCAAATTTCCTTCTTATTATACAATTCTTTGCTTTGCAGGATCCAGTCGCTAATTTAGCAGCCAATGTCCCGGCTGCTGCAGATGCTGCAGGGCCGCAGCTCCCTGCAGAGCACGGCCCCAACGAGCCGGCCCTGGCCAATCAGCAGGAAGCTGGCAACAACCGAGATGAAGGAGAGTTGGATGATGATGAAGGGGAGGATGATGATGACGACGATGGGGAAGAAGATGATGAGGAAGAGGAGGAAGAAGGCAGGGAGGATGCTGCTGATGCCAATAACGGGGGGCAAGGTGAGTAAATATCTAAAGTTTTGTTTTTAAATGCATTTTTGTTTCTTTTACTTATTACTGAACTCCTATAAATGTTGTGTTTGGTTAATTAAGTTTAACACAAAAGAGATTTGAGTTTAGGTTGTCTTTCAGTTGGTCTATAACCATCTTCTTAACACTGCAACAGTTCTCGAGGATGTGTAAAATTGTCAATACACCTTCCTGTTTCTCTGAGCATGCTTCCTCTTTGCAGAAGATTTGAACTGGAACGCTCTAGAGTGGGACCGAGCAGCAGAGGAGCTGACCTGGGAGAGGGTGGGCATCTTTATTTCCTTTTATCTGTATCCTGCCCTCTACTCATGACATCTAACCTCACCGTATTTCTAACAAAGACACCAAAGAGTCCATTCATGACTACCACCTCCAAGATTATTTAAGCTGAAAAACAAAATGTTCACCTTTCCCAGGTGTTTATATTTTTCTGATCAGTTTTTGAGGGTGCCATCAGTTATTAAAGGCGCTTTTGGTTTTATTTCAAGTTGTTTTTATGTTTTTTAAATTTTTAGGGTTGAAAAATAGCCTGATTACTAATAGAAAGGAATTATTTGACTACCAGCTTTACAGTTGTAGATTTCACCTGCTAATACAGATTTAGCCTAAGTCCAGTTTTTCTTGAAGAATAAGAACATAAGTTTACAGTAGGAGGAATATTAGTTTTAGGGTTGCTCTTATGAGTTGTCTCTCTCTTTCCCTATGGGTACATTTCCAAATGCAGTAAAAAGAAATCATACTAGTATAAAACTTTAAAAAAAAACTTATGATAGAGACTAATTCACAAGATAGTTTTGTTGCTTCCACAGTTCTCCAGGATTTTATAATAACTATATATATATATTTATATTATGGGTGGAATGGTTCACAAAATCCACAGTTTGGTTTGGTTCACAGTTTCGTGGTCACGGTTTTCGGTTTGGTATATGTTGATTGTTAGGAAAATCAATTATGTCTTGTATAGTACAATACGTGTTGCACAATGCTAGCACACTGTTGCACTTTTAACTTTCTTTCCACCGTCATCGTAGGTCACTCTAAATGCAAAGTGGTCCCATACAGCAGACCTATAAAGTGCTGCTGGCGCGTCTTCCAACTCCTGTTCTTTCCCACTCGCCATACCCACACAATTCTCCATAACAACTGATTTTTTTCTGCTACACTCGGCTGCTTCGCTTCTTCTTCTTCTTGTTTACTACTGGTGGTTGGCTTTGGTCGCAGTACCGCCACCTTCTGCTCTGGAGTGTAAACGCTTCGCCTATGAGAAAAAGGAGCTGCGCATGGACCGAACGCAACACACGCAAATCGAACCGAGACAGTCGAACCGGACGGTTCGGACGGTTTTCATAAAGCGTTCCATCCCTAAAATAAAATAAAATATATATATATATATACAGGTGCTGGTCATAAAATTAGAATATCATGAAAAAGTAGATTGATTTCAGTAATTCCATTTAAAAAGTGAAACTTGTATATTATATTCATACATTACATACAAACTCATATATTTCAGATGTTTATTTTGTTTAATTTTGATGATTACAAATGACAACAAATGAAAATCTCAAATTCATCATATCAGAAAATTAGAATATTACTGAAGACCAATAAAAACAAAGGATTTATAGAAATGTTGGCCAACTGAAAAGTATGAACATGAAAAGTATGAGCATGTACAGCACTCAGTATTTAGTTGGGCCTCCTTTGGCCTGTATTACTGCAGCAATGCGGCGTGGCATGGAGTCGATCAGTCTGTGGCACTGCTCAGGTGTTATGATAGCCCAGGTTGCTCTAATAGTGGCTTTTAGCTCTTCTGAATTGTTGGGTCTGGTGTATTGCATCTTCTTCTTCACAATAACCCAATGATTTTCTATGGGGTTAAGGTCAGGAGAGTTTGCTGGCCAATTAAGAACAGGGATACCATGGTCCTTCAACCAGGTACTGGTAGCTTTGGCACTGTGTGCAGGTGCCAAGTCCTGTTGGAAAATGAAATCTGCATCTCCAAAAAGTTGGTCAGCTGCAGGAAGCATGAAGTGCTCTAAAACTTCCTGGTATGTGGCTGCGTTGACCCTGGACCTCAGAAAACACAATGGACCAACACCAGCAGATGACATGGCACCCCAAACCATCACTGACTGTGGAAACTTTACACTGGACTTCAAGCAACGTGGATGAAGTGCCTCTCTTCTTTTCCTCCAGACTCTGGGACCTTGATTTCCAAAGGAAATGCAAAATTTACTTTCATCAGAGAACATGACTTTGGACCACTCACCAGCAGTCCAGTCCTGTTTCTCTTTAGCCCAGGCAAGACGCTTCTGACGCTGTCTGTGGTTCAAGAGTGGCTTGACACAAGGAATGCGACAGCAGAAACCCATGTCTTTCATACGTCTGTGTGTGGTGGTTCTTGAAGCACTCACTCCAGCTGCAGTCCACTCTTTGTGAATCTCCCCCACATTTTTGAATGGGTTTTGTTTCACAATCCTCTCCAGGGTGCGGTTATCTCTCTTGCTTGTACACTTTTTTCGACCACATCTTTTCCTTCCCTTCGCCTCTCTATTAATGTGCTTGGACACTGAGCTCTGTGAACAGCCAGCCTCTTTAGCGATGACCTTTTGTGTCTTGCCCTCCTTGTGCAAGGTGTCGATGGTCGTCTTTTGGACAACTGTCAAGTCAGCAGTCTTCCCCATGATTGTGTAGCCTATAGAACTAGACTGAAAGACCATTTAAAGGCTTTTGCAGGTGGTTTGAGTTAATTAGCTGATTAGAGTGTGGCACCAGGGGCCATCAATTTTGAACCTTTTCACAATATTCTAATTTTCTGATATGATGAATTTGAGATTTTCATTTGTTGTCATTTGTAATCATCAAAATTAAACAAAATAAACATCTGAAATATATGAGTTTGTATGTAATGTATGAATATAATATACAAGTTTCACTTTTTAAATGGAATTACTGAAATCAATCTACTTTTTCATGATATTCTAATTTTATGACCAGCACCTGTATATATATACACACACACTTTTTAGATGTAGATCCTTCTGTTAATACTGATATTTTCTTAATGGCTGTCATTATTTCTGAATCATACATGGTTTTTCATAAGAGGTTCAGCTCAGGGAAACAAAACAGCAACTTAGCTGTTCAGTTACTTTCTCTACTCCGTTACTTTCTCTCACTCCGGCAGCCTGAATGAACTATAGATATGATTTTTTTAGACATGCTAACTATTGTTTATAATGTTGTTCTCCATGTGTGTCTCAGATGCTTGGACTAGATGGTTCCCTTGTTTTTCTGGTAAGTAATTTCTTCCGTAGTTTAAAATCATCTTTTCAAAAATAATAACCCATCTCATGAGAAAGTATGATAGATTCTATTGCATCCTTTACAAGACCCCAAATTTATGACGTGAGAGGTTTTAGTGAGAACCACAACACTGAATAAAAATGTGTAAATACTTTCAAATGATTCCCTCATGTACTTTTGCTGTTTTTCTCTCTAGGAGCATGTATTCTGGGTGGTGTCTCTCAACACACTGTTCATCCTGGTGTTTGGTGAGTTCTTTCACTCTTTATATGGAACTTCTACCCTCTTTTTGCCCGTCCTGATATGATCACTTGAGGCTCGTTTTCAACAGTCCTATTCTAAACTACTCTGTATTTTCCATCTAGCCTTTTGCCCATATCACATCGGCCATTTCTCAGTTGTTGGTCTGGGCTTTGAAGACTATGTAAGTTCCCTGGAACAAACAATGCAGAGCTTTTCAATTAAGACTGTTTTGGGATCATTCTCTCTTGGATCATACGTATAAAAACATTTCTTGTGTCTTTAGGTCAAAGCGTCACATTTTGATGGCCTCATCACCACGATACTGGGATACATCCTCCTGGCTGCTGCTCTTGTGGTCTGTCATGTATCCTCTTCGTACTGTAAATCCCTTTGTTTATCATCAAAATATATTTCATTTTATTGGGTATTAATCTAATTAACGACAAAAAGAAGCTACTAATTGTGAAGGTCAAGGAAATTATGCATAATTTAGGTTTTAAAACAAATAAAATGTGCTTTATGATTGGCTCATCAAATGAGCACTAGAGATAGACTATTTCTTAATAATTCAGGGGTTTTTTTTTATGTCGAATTGTTTGAGTCCTTAAGTGTGACTTCTGTAGGCATTGGCTTCGCTAGTGAAGTTCCAGCGCTCCAGACGCCTTCTTGGTGTCTGCTACATTGTTGTGAAGGTAAGCAAGAGAACCAGTGCTCAATATTTCTCTTTCCACACTTAGTTTAATTTCTGTGTAGGGAATTAGCAGAGCTTTCAATGTCAACAACAATTAGGATCGTTTTGATAAAATGAAAACAGTCTTAATTGCAAGGCTCATCTCTTTTCTTTCTGCATGTCCCAGGTTTCCCTACTGGTTGTCATGGAGATCGGCTTGTTCCCGCTCATTTGTGGCTGGTGGCTGGACATTTGCTCTCTGGTACGCAAAGATGCAGAATGTAGATGTTATAATAGTGTCGCTTCCTGGTCTTTAAAAAAAAAAAAAAGAAGAAGAAGAAAACTTGTTACACTTTAACCTTTTGGGCTAATTTTTTATGGATTGTTTATGTGAAGAACTGAATTAAAATGTTGTCCCTCTTTAATTGCAGGAAATGTTTGATGCAAGTTTGAAGGACAGAGAGCAGAGTTTCGACTCTGCTCCAGGTACCACAATGTTCCTCCACTGGTTGGTCGGCATGGTTTATGTCTTTTACTTTGCCTCCTTCATCCTTCTGCTCAGAGAGGTGACTGAACAGACACAGCAGCTCGCAGTTATGAAAAACAGCATTGTAAAAATGTTATTTACTGTGCATACGTTTGTGTGTGATCAGGTTCTTCGACCAGGTGTGCTGTGGTTTTTGAGGAACCTGAATGATCCAGACTTCAACCCAGTGCAAGAGATGATTCACCTTCCTATCTATCGACACCTGCGGAGGTTTATACTCTCAGTGGTCAGTTTAAAAAAAGTTAGAATTTTGAAGCTTGCAAATGTTATGTGAGCTTTTCATTCATTGTCTCACTGGAACACTGGCAGTTGCGGTTTTTTGTTTACCTCTGTGTGTTTTCTCTTCCAGGTGGTGTTTGGCTCAATCGTTCTACTGATGCTTTGGCTTCCGATCAGGATCATTAAACTGCTCTTCCCAGCCTTCCTTCCTTATAATGTCATGCTATACAGGTGCGTCGGAACCAAATGATGTCTAAATCGCTGTTCCTTCTTAGTTAGAGTAAAGAAAAACCAACCTGTGTGTTTTTTTTACACATGTATCATAAAGTCAAGATTAGGAAACTTGTTTTCTGTGTTGCTCCTGCAGTGATGCTCCAGTCAGCGAGTTGTCCCTGGAACTCCTGCTGCTTCAGGTCGTTCTGCCTGCATTATTGGAGCAAGGTCACACTCGCCAGTGGCTCAAACGTCTTGTCCACGCCTGGACGTTCACAGCTGGATATGTGCTGTAGGTTTTATACTAATTACTCCATAGACATTCAGCATTTTTCTAAACACAGTTAGGCCATTTATAACTGTAAGCTGAGGTATAAATTACAAAGGTAATTTTCTCTCTTATCATATCACTTACTGTATGAAATTGTAAATAAATTGCCCTCTCACAGTGACCTTCATTCGTACCTTTTGGGCGACCTTGAAGATGATGAAAACCAACCAAATAACCCCCCTAATCGACTAAATAACAACCGGATCCCTGGGCTTGGAGAGGGGCTCCATGCTGCCCACCAGGCCATTCTGCAGCAGGGCGGTCCTGTGGGGTTCCAACCCTACCACCGACCCCCCAACTTCCTCCTTAAGGTACTTAAAAAACAACAACTTTTAAATGATTCCAAGCGAGTTTTGTTGTTCATATGTTAATTTTTTTTCTTGATGTTCTTGTTTAGATCATTATGCTGGTGGTCTTCATGTGTGTGACTCTGTTACTTGCGAGTCTGCTCTGTCTCACGCTGCCAGGTAAGCATGACCTGCACTGTTAGATGTGCAGGTAAACAGAAATGAGACAGAAAAACACATCTTGGTTGATTTGGATAAAAAAAATGGACTGGTCAGATTTAATTAACTGTCTCTGATGACCAATTTTATTTTATTTTTTAATTGCAGGATCTGTTGTGCTGATTCTGTGATTTCTCCTTAAAGGTGCAAATGGGCAAATTTGATTAAAATAACATAAATAAAAAAATAAAAAAACACTGCTACATGTCAGAAGGAACCAGTTAGAGGCAGGAGGAATGTCTATGCAGTGAAAAAAGTTAAGCCATTAAATAAAACAGGGATAATAGAATCTGCACTTTAATAGTGCCCTTTAACCAGACCGGCATTACTCCCCAGTAACAACAAGGGTGTACACATATTTTCATAAATTTTGGTTGTGGATGTGTGGGCTACAGGTAATATTTCTACTACCTGTTAGTGGACATATGGGCTCATAAGTTAGATAGGAATCTGGAATGTTGTTGGTGTTAAATGGCTGTAGGAAAGAGAGGTGGAGAGTTAAGGAGTAATCTGTTTTTTTGTGTTATTAGGATAATTATCGTTGATGAGGTGTGAGTTTATAAATAGTTTGTCCCGAGCGATCGCGTTTCCCCCCCCCCCAACTTATATATTCTTAATGTAATGTATGAATATAATATACAAGTTTCACTTTTTAAATGGAATTACTGAAATCAATCTACTTTTTCATGGCATGGAGTCGATCAGTCTGTGGCACTGCTCAGGTGTTATGATAGCCCAGGTTGCTCTAATAGTGGCTTTTAGCTCTTCTGAATTGTTGGGTCTGGTGTATTGCATCTTCTTCTTCACAATACCCCATAGATTTTCTATGGGGTTAAGGTCAGGAGAGTTTGCTGGCCAATTAAGAACAGGGATACCATGGTCCTTCAACCAGGTACTGGTAGCTTTGGCACTGTGTGCAGGTGCCAAGTCCTGTTGGAAAATGAAATCTGCATCTCCAAAAAGTTGGTCAGCTGCAGGAAGCATGAAGTGCTCTAAAACTTCCTGGTATGTGGCTGCGTTGACCCTGGACCTCAGAAAACACAATGGACCAACACCAGCAGATGACATGGCACCCCAAACCATCACTGACTGTGGAAACTTTACACTGGACTTCAAGCAACGTGGATGAAGTGCCTCTCTTCTTTTCCTCCAGACTCTGGGACCTTGATTTCCAAAGGAAATGCAAAATTTACTTTCATCAGAGAACATGACTTTGGACCACTCACCAGCAGTCCAGTCCTGTTTCTCTTTAGCCCAGGCAAGACGCTTCTGACGCTGTCTGTGGTTCAAGAGTGGCTTGACACAAGGAATGCGACAGCAGAAACCCATGTCTTTCATACGTCTGTGTGTGGTGGTTCTTGAAGCACTCACTCCAGCTGCAGTCCACTCTTTGTGAATCTCCCCCACATTTTTGAATGGGTTTTGTTTCACAATCCTCTCCAGGGTGCGGTTATCTCTCTTGCTTGTACACTTTTTTCGACCACATCTTTTCCTTCCCTTCGCCTCTCTATTAATGTGCTTGGACACTGAGCTCTGTGAACAGCCAGCCTCTTTAGCGATGATCTTTTGTGTCTTGCCCTCCTTGTGCAAGGTGTCGATGGTCGTCTTTTGGACAACTGTCAAGTCAGCAGTCTTCCCCATGATTGTGTAGCCTATAGAACTAGACTGAAAGACCATTTAAAGGCTTTTGCAGGTGGTTTGAGTTAATTAGCTGATTAGAGTGTGGCACCAGGGGCCATCAATTTTGAACCTTTTCACAATATTCTAATTTTCTGATATGATGAATTTGAGATTTTCATTTGTTGTCATTTGTAATCATCAAAATTAAACAAAATAAACATCTGAAATATATGAGTTTGTATGTAATGTATGAATATAATATACAAGTTTCACTTTTTAAATGGAATTACTGAAATCAATCTACTTTTTCATGATATTCTAATTTTATGACCAGCACCTGTATATATATACACACACACTTTTTAGATGTAGATCCTTCTGTTAATACTGATATTTTCTTAATGGCTGTCATTATTTCTGAATCATACATGGTTTTTCATAGAGGTTCAGCTCAGGGAAACAAAACAGCAACTTAGCTGTTCAGTTACTTTCTCTACTCCGTTACTTTCTCTCACTCCGGCAGCCTGAATGAACTATAGATATGATTTTTTTAGACATGCTAACTATTGTTTATAATGTTGTTCTCCATGTGTGTCTCAGATGCTTGGACTAGATGGTTCCCTTGTTTTTCTGGTAAGTAATTTCTTCCGTAGTTTAAAATCATCTTTTCAAAAATAATAACCCATCTCATGAGAAAGTATGATAGATTCTATTGCATCCTTTACAAGACCCCAAATTTATGACGTGAGAGGTTTTAGTGAGAACCACAACACTGAATAAAAATGTGTAAATACTTTCAAATGATTCCCTCATGTACTTTTGCTGTTTTTCTCTCTAGGAGCATGTATTCTGGGTGGTGTCTCTCAACACACTGTTCATCCTGGTGTTTGGTGAGTTCTTTCACTCTTTATATGGAACTTCTACCCTCTTTTTGCCCGTCCTGATATGATCACTTGAGGCTCGTTTTCAACAGTCCTATTCTAAACTACTCTGTATTTTCCATCTAGCCTTTTGCCCATATCACATCGGCCATTTCTCAGTTGTTGGTCTGGGCTTTGAAGACTATGTAAGTTCCCTGGAACAAACAATGCAGAGCTTTTCAATTAAGACTGTTTTGGGATCATTCTCTCTTGGATCATACGTATAAAAACATTTCTTGTGTCTTTAGGTCAAAGCGTCACATTTTGATGGCCTCATCACCACGATACTGGGATACATCCTCCTGGCTGCTGCTCTTGTGGTCTGTCATGTATCCTCTTCGTACTGTAAATCCCTTTGTTTATCATCAAAATATATTTCATTTTATTGGGTATTAATCTAATTAACGACAAAAAGAAGCTACTAATTGTGAAGGTCAAGGAAATTATGCATAATTTAGGTTTTAAAACAAATAAAATGTGCTTTATGATTGGCTCATCAAATGAGCACTAGAGATAGACTATTTCTTAATAATTCAGGGGTTTTTTTTTATGTCGAATTGTTTGAGTCCTTAAGTGTGACTTCTGTAGGCATTGGCTTCGCTAGTGAAGTTCCAGCGCTCCAGACGCCTTCTTGGTGTCTGCTACATTGTTGTGAAGGTAAGCAAGAGAACCAGTGCTCAATATTTCTCTTTCCACACTTAGTTTAATTTCTGTGTAGGGAATTAGCAGAGCTTTCAATGTCAACAACAATTAGGATCGTTTTGATAAAATGAAAACAGTCTTAATTGCAAGGCTCATCTCTTTTCTTTCTGCATGTCCCAGGTTTCCCTACTGGTTGTCATGGAGATCGGCTTGTTCCCGCTCATTTGTGGCTGGTGGCTGGACATTTGCTCTCTGGTACGCAAAGATGCAGAATGTAGATGTTATAATAGTGTCGCTTCCTGGTCTTTAAAAAAAAAAAAAAAGAAGAAGAAGAAAACTTGTTACACTTTAACCTTTTGGGCTAATTTTTTATGGATTGTTTATGTGAAGAACTGAATTAAAATGTTGTCCCTCTTTAATTGCAGGAAATGTTTGATGCAAGTTTGAAGGACAGAGAGCAGAGTTTCGACTCTGCTCCAGGTACCACAATGTTCCTCCACTGGTTGGTCGGCATGGTTTATGTCTTTTACTTTGCCTCCTTCATCCTTCTGCTCAGAGAGGTGACTGAACAGACACAGCAGCTCGCAGTTATGAAAAACAGCATTGTAAAAATGTTATTTACTGTGCATACGTTTGTGTGTGATCAGGTTCTTCGACCAGGTGTGCTGTGGTTTTTGAGGAACCTGAATGATCCAGACTTCAACCCAGTGCAAGAGATGATTCACCTTCCTATCTATCGACACCTGCGGAGGTTTATACTCTCAGTGGTCAGTTTAAAAAAAGTTAGAATTTTGAAGCTTGCAAATGTTATGTGAGCTTTTCATTCATTGTCTCACTGGAACACTGGCAGTTGCGGTTTTTTGTTTACCTCTGTGTGTTTTCTCTTCCAGGTGGTGTTTGGCTCAATCGTTCTACTGATGCTTTGGCTTCCGATCAGGATCATTAAACTGCTCTTCCCAGCCTTCCTTCCTTATAATGTCATGCTATACAGGTGCGTCGGAACCAAATGATGTCTAAATCGCTGTTCCTTCTTAGTTAGAGTAAAGAAAAACCAACCTGTGTGTTTTTTTTACACATGTATCATAAAGTCAAGATTAGGAAACTTGTTTTCTGTGTTGCTCCTGCAGTGATGCTCCAGTCAGCGAGTTGTCCCTGGAACTCCTGCTGCTTCAGGTCGTTCTGCCTGCATTATTGGAGCAAGGTCACACTCGCCAGTGGCTCAAACGTCTTGTCCACGCCTGGACGTTCACAGCTGGATATGTGCTGTAGGTTTTATACTAATTACTCCATAGACATTCAGCATTTTTCTAAACACAGTTAGGCCATTTATAACTGTAAGCTGAGGTATAAATTACAAAGGTAATTTTCTCTCTTATCATATCACTTACTGTATGAAATTGTAAATAAATTGCCCTCTCACAGTGACCTTCATTCGTACCTTTTGGGCGACCTTGAAGATGATGAAAACCAACCAAATAACCCCCCTAATCGACTAAATAACAACCGGATCCCTGGGCTTGGAGAGGGGCTCCATGCTGCCCACCAGGCCATTCTGCAGCAGGGCGGTCCTGTGGGGTTCCAACCCTACCACCGACCCCCCAACTTCCTCCTTAAGGTACTTAAAAAACAACAACTTTTAAATGATTCCAAGCGAGTTTTGTTGTTCATATGTTAATTTTTTTTCTTGATGTTCTTGTTTAGATCATTATGCTGGTGGTCTTCATGTGTGTGACTCTGTTACTTGCGAGTCTGCTCTGTCTCACGCTGCCAGGTAAGCATGACCTGCACTGTTAGATGTGCAGGTAAACAGAAATGAGACAGAAAAACACATCTTGGTTGATTTGGATAAAAAAAATGGACTGGTCAGATTTAATTAACTGTCTCTGATGACCAATTTTATTTTATTTTTTAATTGCAGGATCTGTTGTGCTGATTCTGTGATTTCTCCTTAAAGGTGCAAATGGGCAAATTTGATTAAAATAACATAAATAAAAAAATAAAAAAACACTGCTACATGTCAGAAGGAACCAGTTAGAGGCAGGAGGAATGTCTATGCAGTGAAAAAAGTTAAGCCATTAAATAAAACAGGGATAATAGAATCTGCACTTTAATAGTGCCCTTTAACCAGACCGGCATTACTCCCCAGTAACAACAAGGGTGTACACATATTTTCATAAATTTTGGTTGTGGATGTGTGGGCTACAGGTAATATTTCTACTACCTGTTAGTGGACATATGGGCTCATAAGTTAGATAGGAATCTGGAATGTTGTTGGTGTTAATGGCTGTAGGAAAGAGAGGTGGAGAGTTAAGGAGTAATCTGTTTTTTTGTGTTATTAGGATAATTATCGTTGATGAGGTGTGAGTTTATAAATAGTTTGTCCCGAGCGATCGCGTTTCAGAAAAAAGAACCGTAGAGAGAATGCCTTAAGGTGTAAACACAGAGCTTTCCTTTAAACAAACTCTTTAAATAACACTTCTTAATGTATATGTATTAAATAACCATGAAACATGACAACAGATTTTGATAGAAATTGCAAGTTGAACAGTTTTAACAGTTGTTAATATTCAAATTAAACTCATTGCAATAATTATGATCATTGTAAAATAAAACAAAGATTTTTCATGCCAAGCTTGTAGAGGTTTTTGTTTTCATCTCTAGTAATCTTTATTTCTACCAGAATAAAACAAAGAACATTGAAAGGAAAGAAATAAAGTTCTTAGAGCAGTATATCAGAGTTATATTATTTCAGTACCAGTATTTCTATTTCATCTCACACTGTGTCTTGCGACCTTCCCTCTCTCTTTTTTCTCTGACAGTCCTGATGTTTCCTCTGCTTTGTCCTCAGTGTACGTGGGTCGTTGGCTGATGTCTCTGTGGATGGGCAGTGCAGTGGTCCATGAGCTATATACAGCAGCCAGCGGTCTGTACGTCTGCTGGGTCTCCATCAGAGCCGCCACTGTCCTGCTGTCCTGGATGCCACAGGGAAGGACAGTTATCATGATCAAAGTCCACGAGTGGACGCTTATGGTAATGCCAGTATCAGTCTCTTTGTCTCCGATGACAAAAACTCTGCTCTTCAAAGGTTGAATTGTGTCACTGTTTTTGTGACTGCAGATCTTTAAGACTGTTGTAGTGGCCGTGATGTTAGCTGGGGTGATTCCTCTGCTGTTGGGGCTGCTGTTTGACCTCGTCATCGTTGCTCCTCTTAGAGTCCCGTTGGACCAGACTCCTCTCTTCTACCCATGGCAGGTAGGACTATACAGTATGTCAATGTTTGGAATACAGGGTGGGATCAGATTTCAGAAATACTCAAATATTTAATTCTTTGTCATGTTTTCACATTAGATGCCAGTTGTTGTTATTTTATTTGTTTTGCAGAATAGTTCTTTCTTAACATAAATTGCTCGACGTAGTAAAAGTTTTAGGCATTTGCTATTTTATTAAAGTATCCATTTGGACTTTTCCACCAAAATGATTTAAATGTATAAACAGAGCCACTGTTTCTTAACTGGTTTTAGAAAAGAACTAGTTCGATTTCCCACAACTACAGAGCAAAAAAAATAAAGCATGTAATTATAAATATGTCACCCAGTCAATACTGAAGTGTTTTTTTATGGAGGGTAACAATAGAAGGAGGTCGTTAGTCTACATGCAATATTTATTTTAGTATATTAGGGACAAAAAACAAAAGGATACTAATAACATCAATATCAACAGCTAGGTTTTTTTTATGCCTGTTCTAAATGCTTAAAGGAGGCCCATCAGCAGATCTGTAGTTTGTACCAGCAGTGCTGGAAAACGAGTTGAGCACCACCTTTACTGCAGTTATTAGCTCCACCTGTCTGTGTTTAAGATTTGAGTTGAAATTTGTTTTAAATGGAAAATATCAGCATCTGGTGCTGCTGTTTGGTTCTTTTGCCTAAAGAAACATCTCCATGAGGTAATCAAACATTTGATTACTTTTGAAGCACAGTATTTGTCTTAAACTAGAGAGATCAAAAGCAAAGCAAATACAGCATCTCTTCACCTGCATCTGTTGAGGATAGCACCTCTACCTCTAGATTAACTGTGGAAAAAGCACTGATGCTGGGCAGCGATTTAGTCCTGGAACTAGTTTGATTCCAGGAACTTTTAAGTTAATCATTTCAACCTGTGAATGATTTAAAGTTGATGCGATGTTTTTTATTATCTATAGAAAGTTCATCATATTAATGAAAGAGAAAATAAAGTTAAAGTCCATAGAATAATGCTTTATTTGACTAAGTGCAACTAAGAATCACATTTGAAGGGAGGTTGAATTAGTTACTGGGGTCCTTGTTTTTGTTTCAAAGCTGTTTTGGACCTAATAGCTCATCCATTTAAAATATTTTTTCAGCATTAAAGTGTTTAGTGTTAAAGACCAGACTTTACATCTTCAAGTTCTTGATCCCAGAAGCAATCCACAGTATTTACAACATCCTCTTAAAGGGATGACTCTCAGACAGAACTAAACCTGAACTCTTTTTATTTGAAGCCAAACAAAGAAAGGATTTGCAAAAATCAAACTGCAGGTTTTTGCCAGAATAAACAATAAGCATTGATTCATGAAAGCAGTTGATTATTTTTATCTTTGGTAGACCACTTGCAATCATCATCATCATTGCATCCCTAATTTATTTACTTATTTATTTGTATGAAAAAAAATGTATGGAGGGTAAATCAGACATGAAGAACTTAGATCTTATAGAATTACATTATGAGTTGGAAAAGCTATACATGATTAAAGGAGTGGCATATATGACTGTTATATTTAATAAGCTAAGTATTTTAATGCTTAAGTTTAAATACTTTTATTAAAGAATATCCATGACACACAAAGGAAGACTTGTGAAAATAAATGCTGAACTCATGTTTCTGTCCTTTGCTCCAGGACTGGGCCCTTGGTGTCCTTCATGCAAAAATCATTGCTGCTATAACCCTGATGGGCCCCCAGTGGTGGCTAAAAACTGTCATTGAGCAGGTGAGTCTCACTTTGCTCCTTCTTGCATTCGATCAGAAAGACAAAACGCAGAAACAGGGATGTTTGAGCACTGTGCAAGATGCCAAAACAACTTGTTGTTTATAGACATGATGTGAAACATTTGGCCTGTGATTCGAGTGGCCTGCAGATTTCTGTTGTAGTTTTATCTACCATCTATCTGGAGATGCAAACCAGTTACTTTGAGCTCAGTATTGTTGCATGCAGGACTGGTTTGTGCTTTTGTTTGTGCTTTGTCTGCTTCTCTTTCAAAAGGTTGTAGTCTACTGATAAAAAGGTTCTGTGAATAATTAATAAGACATTGAATGTAATAATAACACATTGTAGTTTCATTAGGCAGAACATGGCGTGATTAAATTATTGAGATATTTTGGGAAAAGGAAAAGTATTTACCTCTGGTTGCTTGTGTAATACATGTATATATTTTAAGGTTATAAAAGGCTAGAGAATTATACAATATCAGTAAATATTGGTTATCTGTCATAACAGCAATGTCAATATCAGCTATTGATTTGGGCCAAAACTTTAATATCGGTCCTTCCCTAGTTTATTTACATTTAGATAAAATACTAATGTATTTATGCTTTTTCTTGATTTTTCATTTGAATATGAAATATTATCATCATACATTTAGATGATTATTTAGCCTATTACCAAAGTGGCAGTGTTTGTAGTATTCTCCTTTCTGTGTGAGTAACAAAAGAAACAGTCATAAAAAAAAATCTGTAAGCTGCCCTTAGTAGTTTAAGCATAGAAATCCATATTAGTCCCTAGCTCTATTTCCATTAACTTTCAAATTGTATAAATTGTAATTATGAAAAATAAATTTGCTAAATGAAAACACTGCAATTTTTTTTAGCTTTGATGAGGTGGTTTTTCGGTTGTATTGATATTCCAGATGTTTTTATCCAGTAAACAGCACCTCCTCCTTCCTGCAGGTTTATGCTAACGGCATCAGAAACATCGACCTTCATTTCATCGTCAGGCGGTTGGGCGCCCCCGTTATTTGTCTTCTGTTGCTGTCGCTGTGTGTACCCTATACTGTCTCTAAAGGCCTCACACCACTACTGGGTACGCCTCTGAGTGTTTATCTTTCATGTCTCTGTGTTAAGGTTGAATGTTTGATATTTTATCTTTACTTAAGTGAATAAACGTTGCTGTGTAGTACTACGGTAGTTGTAGTCACTGTATCTAGAAAAAATTTGAAAGAAAGAATGTCAAGAGAGAATAAATGTAAAATTTGCTGCTTAAATCTACTTTCATTCTACAAACTATGTTCATTAAAATTTTACTTACTAGTTTTTTTTTGTCCTTCTCATCAGCTTTACGTGAACCTTAATCTGTGACATTCCCTGTAATAAGTCCCACATTTGGCTTTATGTTTCATTTAGAGATCTGCTCTTGTTCTTTTTGCACATGTGCGAGTCTTTTCCATTACTTATCCTCTTTACTTTTTTGTTTTTCTTACTCTTTTTTATTTTCCAGGAGTGCAGCCAGAGATGCAGATTCTGGTGGAGAGGAGAATCTATCCGTTCCTGCTGATGGTGGTCATATTGCTGGCCATACTGTCCTTTCAGATTCGCCAGTTCAAACGACTTTATGAGCACATCAAAAACGACAAGTCAGCAGAATCTCACATCTATTTCATGACCTTCCTTATACAGTTCATTGAAAAATGACAGAACCATTTTACATTTTGTCTCATTCCAACTACAGACTTCAGTGTCTTTTATTGGAAGTTATTTTTTCCACATTGTGGTGGATAGATGTGAGGAAGAAGTTAGACAATTAACTTCAAGGCTAACATTTTATGGTTATTTGAGAAATTTCTCAGGATCTGTCAGACTAGTAGGGGTGGGTATTGCCAAAGAAGTCACTATTCGATTCGAATCACGATTCACAGGCCACGATGCGATTCTATCACGATGCATCGCGATACTTGAATTATTGCGATGTATTGTAATATTTTCTCCTCCATGTTTTGTTTTTGAATGACACGGCACAGTATCCCGCGGCCGGAAATGCTTGTGACACAAGGCAGCGTGCGTCAACACATTTGCAGCGACATCTACTGGACTGGAAGTTGTATTACACTTGGTTTTGGCTGATGTTCGCCAACCATTCATGCAATTTTATTTATTCATTTTTTTAATTAATAATAGATACTCGGTGTCAAGAATCGATGCAGTAGATCACGAAAATTAGAATCACGATGCATCATCATGGCGATTATTTTGCACACCCCTACAGACTAGATAGAGATGATCTAAAAAGCAATAATTTGGTCTGTTTCTTTTTACCATGTTTTAGTGTGGAAATCATTTTTTTAGGGTGTAAATCCCCTACCCTCTGAAAGGGAGGTACTTAGCATTGCTGCCTGCTGTAGCACTGCTAGTGTTTTAGGGTTTTTTTTTTGCAGGAAAAATGCAGAAAACTTTGGATACTCTCCCACTTCAAACACTACACTACTTTAGTTTGCTTCATAGCATATTTATAGAAAAATAAAATCCAGGTTACTGTTCTAATGGGTTAAAATGTTAAAATATACTTAATGTAAAAAAAACTGCAGTAACCTTGGTGTTTATTTTAAACAAAGATTATAATCTGGTTGTCATTTTCAGTGTTAGTTTAAATTCACATGCTTTGTGTTTTTTGTTTTCCACCAGATACCTGGTTGGACAGCGATTGGTAAACTATGAGCGGAAGATGGGCAGGAGCTCCACCTCTCACAGCACCGCCTCATAAAGCTGACACCCCGCCTCACACCGGGGGCCTTCAGGAGCTCCTTTCTCTGTTGTTTCTCTTCTCATCTTCAAAGACTACATATCAAACCTCTGACTTCAGCCCCATCCCTTTCTTCTCCAGCATCTCCCACGGTTACAGTGTGGGAAGCAAAGACTTTGACAGGCAAACTCAATCAACCGTCTCCCATGAAAACTCTGCCCCAGAAGTTTTCATGTGAGGTTAAAATTCTGAACAAAGTCTTTAAGCTTCTTAAGCTCTCTGCTTGAATCAAACTTGGCAGAATTAAACATCCCTCACTGGTCCTTCTGATCTAGTCCCCTGCTCAGGTGATATTTGTTTTATTTTCCAGAAGCTTGCTTCAAATTCAGGTCAGATGAGCTCAGCGTTTACTTTAGATTGAGCTTCCATTTGAAAACATTGGAGAAAAATCATAAATCTGTCGTCATTTATATAGTTTAGATCTGTGAATTGATCGTTGGCCTACTTCCATAGTCCTGCATCCATGGTTAACAGGATCATTTTGATTCAAAGTCTCTTCTGAGGCTGAGAAGAAAATGATAAACAAAAAGTTTCTGGTTGAAAATGTGAACAACATGTTTTTCTTTTTATGACGTTAGTCTCCAAGTTTTAACAGTAAAGCCCTTTTAAAGCTTGTTTTTACACATTTAAAAACTGAATCATTTTAGCTTTGGGTAAAAAAAGATGGGAAAAGGCTTATTGCTGTCTTACAGAATCTAGGTTGAGCCGCTAAAGATGAATCGGGAAACTATTTTTCTTCAGTGTGGCGACAGAACTCGAATTAAGCAAACACAGAGGTAACCATAACTACTGTGTTCAATTTTAAGTTCAGTTCAACTTTTCCCACCGTCACTGTTAAAACTAAAGAGCCTGGTAACACTTTGGATAATTGTATAGATGAACAGAAAAGAAAAGTGGAAATAAAGCAATAGATAAAATAAGGCAACACTGAATGTAGAGGTAGAAAACAACTACGGTCCACTTTGCTAAAACTTTAGCTGCTATGTTTTTACTTTCAGTAGAATATCTGAATATTTTGATAAGCTACTGTTGTCTCTATTAAGTCGAATAGATAAGAAAATCTAATTTCTATCTGGTTGGAGTTCTTTGTTTAAATTCTAACGCATACTGCGCGTGGTTGAAGTATTTACATGTCCCCAAACATTTCTAATTGGTAGAGATTTGTGATCCAATCTGAAAAAGCTCAGTGAAACCACTCTTTTTCAGAAAACTTGATCAAGAGCTGCATTAAAGTGCTTTAAACTTTCAAATGCAGAAAAGGCTGGAGCTCAGTGATCTGTTCGCAGCTCTGCAGACTTCATGGAGTTGTAAAGTTTTTACAGTAAAGCTGAAAACTGAGCAGCAAGATTTAGCCTTTTCTGCATGGGGAAACGGTTCAAATAGGCCCTCATCTTTTAAAGGCACTGCAGTATTTCAAAGCTGCGTTTTCCAGCGCGTCACTCCTGAAGTTCTCTTTCAACGTGGGGTTTGGTGTATGTTCCATATATGCTGTGTATGGTCTGAATGGGAGTGGGGAATATGGAGAGAGACGTAGGCTTCTGAGTGGGAATCTGCCAGAGGATTGCTCTGATAAGTTCTTAAGATTCGCGTTTTAAGAAACGTAACTCGAGTTAGACACATTTTGATAACCGCATTAAACAGAAACAGAACAGGAAATGATAGATGGTTGCTCCCCAGTTGGCAGTCTGATTCTCTGATGATTCAAGCTTCGCTCAAAGGGCAGCTTCTATATTTCTGTGTCCATGATCGTATTTCACTAAAGCATGGAATCATGAAATGTTCCATATATATCTAAAGAACCAGCTTCAAAACTGCAAACTGAATCAGCCACAGGGAAAAAAACTGAAACAACACTGCAAAAACAATCTAGAAATAAGTAAAAATGTCTTAAATTGAGTCTATTTACCCTTAACTTGAGTAGGTAAATAAGATAACTTGCAAATGGATTTTTTTTTCTTAAGATAAGACAATATGCACTTGAAATAAGACAAAGCAATAGTTTTTTTTCTTATTTTAAATGTAAATTGTCTTATTCCATTGGCAAAGTGTCTCACTTACCTCCTTAATTCAAGAAAAAATGCACTTATTTTAAGAAAAAAAATACTTATTTAGATTTCAATTTGCAGTTAAAATAACCGCTTATACCTGTATGGCGGTGATGTGTTTGTGTCCTCTGTATAATTTTAGAATGTCTGAAATGACGTGGTTTTTAATGACAAATGGAGCTCAGTTTGTATTTTTATCACTAGCCTCCTAAACTACGTGTATTTTGGACAAGATGAAGTTTATGTGGTACACTCTCAACTTTGGGGAGATGCGCTAAACAACCTCGCCATGCCTCACTTCCTTCACCACCTACTGTTCACTTCAACACTCTGCATGTGAATATGAAACCTTACTGGCTGTTGGCTGCTCAGCCTCTCACTTGTTGGACCAAGTTCTCAACATTGCTCTGCTCTACTTTTACAATCTAGAGATGTTCTTTATCAGAGTTATGGACCCATTCTACAGAAAAAACAGACTTTTAAGACCCTTTAGAAATGCATGGGTGTTTAGTTGTTTTTCAGTGGTTAAAAAATAAAGACCCATACCTCTGAAACATTATTACTGCCAGTGAGAAGAGTCACATTTTCTGTTGTGTTCTGCAGTCCTAAAGAGAAGTTTAATTTATTTGTTTTGAATCAGTAATGGTCATGAAGGGTAACAGATGTTAATTAATTTACATATTCTACTGTGTTGCACTTTATGTTCCTTTTTGCAATTATTTCAGTCTGTTACAATATCAACATAGCTCGATTTGCATTTTAACAAGACTGATGCTGAGACAGCGGAATTCGTCGGCAGCGACTGCCTGGTAGAAATGATTTTTTTGTTTGTTTCTTGTAATGAATTTCACATTTTAGTTAGTATTAATACTTTTCTGCCGAGGCGGATCGTAAGTTTGGCTTTATTTCTAGTACCCGTAGCTCTGCTGCTGTGTTGAATGCTCAGAAAGATGCTATAAAGTGACCTTTTTAGTACCTTCGAGCTGAGCTGGACGCAATGAATTTTAATGTTGAATTTCAATTTCTAGAAGCAAATGAGTTCTATTTTTTTATATGTGCAAAAAGGCAGTGGCATGTACTGTAACGTGAAATAAAACGTAAAAGTTTTATTGATTGTTGATTCTATCATAGACAATAAAATATGTTATAACAGAAAAAGGGGATATCTGTTGTCTTTCAGATGAGGACTGGCAGCTAGACAAACTCCTGAAATTGAAACTTTATCTTATCATAAATATAAATGTTGCCCCTCACCTAAAAAAAAAACAAGGTTCTTGTTAATTTATTATTTTAATCTAAGATTTCTTTCAGTCCCAAGTGAAAGCTAGAATTTAGAGGGTCGATCACAAGCTTAACCACTGAGTACAGCTGTGCTCAAATATGTTATGCTTCCTATCATCTGATAAAAGATACTACTATATGTTCAATGACAGCTTGTTTCTTAACATGGGATCATCTCTGGTGCAGGAAAAGGACTGCAGCTCTAGGAAACAGGATGTGGAGTTATTTCAACACAATCCAATTACCTTGCAGCTAATGCAGAGTCTCAACAGTTTGTCCAAGTGCAGATTAGGAACAAATGCAGCTAACACCAGATTCCTGTGCCTAGCCAAACCTGACGTTTCCACCCTTGTCTCCATTTCTCAGGGGCGGATTGAACCGATGTTATGACGAACAAATTGTGCATAAAGCATCTCTGGTCTCTGCCTCCTTAAGGAGCTGGAGTGACATATAGGGTGTCAAGAAGATGTTATTTTAGTAAATTTGATGGAGATGAATTAATCATTTTGTGACTTATTATCCTGACTATATATTACATAATTTGCTGGGGATAAAAGCAAACATTACCATGTAACTGCCCAAAAGCCACCATGTGATGAACCACCTCAATATGGCAGTCTTTTGTTCCCTTCTTTCCTGTACTGATCCCTTTATCCCATTTGTCTCATTCAAATGTTATTTACAACAAGTTAAAAAAGGTGTTCCCATTTACTTATATCTCTTTCCTACTTGCACAACTTAAAGACGGCTAAATCATGCATTGCCAAGACACAGTTTCAGCTCTAAGGCTTTTTTCTCTGTAGTTAGCTCAAAATGAGGCTCTTTACCTGTAAAAGCACCAAGTGATGATAGATAATTGACAGGATTCCCCCTCTTTTAGAGCCTGGTTCCTCCTCTTAGAGCCTTCCTCTTTCCTTTGTGCTCTAATTACTTCCTGTTTTACCTATTCCACTTTTGTTTTTTTATTTTACCAACACTTGTGCTCCTTCCTGCTCGGTTCAGTTGTCTTTTCTGTGTTCTGCTTGTTTTCTCCGTCTTCCATCTTTGCCCACATCAGCAGCCTGAATATCATAAGCTTTACTCTTTTGAATCCAATAAGTATCAAAGTTGAAGTATCAACTTGACCTCTTTACTCACGTAAAAGTGAAGAAGTATGTGCTCCAAAAACTACTTAAAGTATAAAAGTATAAAGTAACTTAAAAAAAAAAAAAAACAGCCAGATGCCACTATGTGAACTAAAAGCTAAATTGTTCGACTATTTCGAAAAATTCTTTGAGACAAGGCCAAGGATGAGGGAGGTCCTGTTGATCTCCCGATACGCTCTCGCCTGTGTCCGACCTTTCAGAAATTTCAACATCTTTTTCTGAATCCAACATTGTAGCATGGCATAGACAATTCATGTTTGCAGTTTGAAGAATACCTGCTTGCTTCTGATGATTTCCTTTAGCTAACCAATGAGTGTTTGCGTTATATGATTCATCCAATCACACTAGTTTTCACTAGATGTGGATGGCGCCAGTGATCTGCATTGGATGACACACATGACGTGAAATAAATATTTATAAACACTAAACCGAAGCCAAGAGTATTGAGTAATGTTTGTTTTAAAAATGTAAGAAATAGAAAGTACAGATACATGTGTGAAAATGTAATGCGTAGAAGTCAGAAGTAGGAAAAAAAGAAAAGTAATGGAGTAAAAGTATAGATTCCTAAAAAGTTTACTTAAGTACAGTAATGAAGTATTTGTACTTTGTTACTTGACACCTTTGTTATTTACTAACTGCATAACTGAATGATTTGAAATTAATTTTGAAAGAGGTGGCAAGGCTAAAGTTTGGATCAATCCTAGTTTTTCCACTGTACCCTGTATACCAACGAGGTCACGTGTGCTGGAAATCCAATTTAAGCTGGCTGTGTTAAGTGCAGCAGGAGATAAAAGCAGTGACAATTCACTAATAGGCATATTTGTGTTGAAAGGTATGAAAATAACCAATGCAATTTTTTTCTATCCTCCTATAAAAAAAGCTTTATGGATTCCTTCATATGGACAGAGAATGTTTTAAACATTGTAATCCTCTCTGCATGCTTGAATCAGTCAGTTTTAGGTCACACCATATTGTAACAGAAGAGCACCAGTGAGTGAGGGAGCGAGAGAGAGAAAGACTAAATGGATTATCAAGAAGCAGTTCAACAGAATCCCTTTCATCCCAGAGCTGGCCATCAGACAGCCCAGTCCTCCTCCACAGGGAAACGCAGGATTAGTTGCTCAGCACCTGCAGTTTCTTCTGATTCTAGTTTGGGAGTGGGACCACAAGAATCTAGGAATTTGGGGGTGTCAGATCTTCTTCCAGTGCAAGGATCGCACAAGGCCAAAGATGTGACTTACAGGGTCACTGTCAAAAGTCACGTGGAAGAGAGCTATGGCTTTTCTGTATTCTGCAACTCATGGATATTTCTGGACATTTTAGACTCCATTTTAAAAAATTCGTCACCGTCAATCTCCTTGAGGAGGAACAGCAAGTACAGTTTGTCGTTATTGACTATTTTTATCAATATTTAACAGTCCAGAGGGACTGTCAAAGATCATGCATATGTTCAGAGCTTTGAGGACGAGTTGCAAAGTTTTGCGAAATCCCGATTTCACATGAAATTGAATTAGATGCGTTAAACCATGTTGGAGGATTTTTTATGCAGTCCCAAGTTCTCATGCTTCATCTTTGGCCTTTTTCGGTTCTTTATAAAACTCTTAAAATTCAAGTCCTAACTTGGATTTCACCCTTTGGTGAATGGGATGAGACACTATGGTGCTCTGGGGCAATGGATGTAAACTCAGGGTTCTATAAAAGAATTTATTGGCACCCCACATGAATTTTAAAAGGTAAGTGAGGCCAGGGGATGTTTTAAATGGTGTTAATAACAGAGGAGCAAGGGAAGAAATCAAAGGTTAAAGAGAATGGATTTCCTGGAGGAGTTGAGCTTGGCAAGACTCATAGAAAAGCCAGCAGCTTGGCTGTGGATGCACCCATTATGTCCATTTGCAAGGTTGATGAAAATGGACTTGATTGTTTGGTATCAGGAGAAGACATTAATCCTGAGACTGAAGTTGATTACACACGAAACTACTGGGAGGATGAGGACGATATCTATCAGGAGTTTGAGGAACTGGACTTCGATGCCCTACCGGATCGCTTGGATACCCAGAGCATCACCTCAGATGACTCATTCTATCCCCCAGATGATTCAGTAATCTCCCAAATTAACCGCTCCCTCTACCGCCCTGAAAGCCCCGAACCCATCTCCTTTTTTAAGGCCTGCTGCAACAACAATGCCATCATAGTAAAGATTATGATAAGACAAGGAGTTACTGAGGAAGAGGTAAAAGAGACGGACCGGAACAGAAGAGTAGGTGTCTGGGTTCATTACCTTTTATATTGTTTTTTGTGTTCTTTTTTCATTTTTAATCTGCGTATAGACTCTAAAGTATCTATCTAGATCATGTCACTGCAATCTCTTCTGTTTTGTATAGAAGATTTTCATATCGCATGCTAATGCTTTCTGGGTTTACACTTTTGGATGGTCAACAGAATCTATCCCAAACACATCTTTACCACCAAAGCATTAAAGTAATTCAACTATCACCTTTCTACTTGTCAAACTGCCTCTATTTAATAATTGGGAGTGGGAGTCTGCTAGACCGATGAAGCTACTTCTAAAAGAGGAAGAAATATTAGCTTTATGGAAAAAAGTCTAGATCTGTTTCCCCTGAAAAGCTATTACCAAAATCTAGATGTGATGATTTGAATTTTTCTGTCGATGTCTCTTTTTCAATAAGAGCCTCTCCATTAAGTTGTTTTAGCAATGCCATTTCAAGGCATCTCTAAAGACAAAATGGAGCTCAAACTGGTATAAGGAATGGAGGTGCTCAGTAAGTAGAAATGGGCTGCATAGCGGAGCGCTAGGTAGCATTGTGCAGTTGCTAGTGTTATTGCTATGGAAACTTGGCCATGTTTTGCATGCTCATCCATTAATGCACTACTTTTGTCTGCGTTCTGCTCATAATCATGTATGTTGGTCGTTTCCCTAGATTGACCTAAAGATGAGAGAGTATAGATGTCTGGATTGTCCATAGTTTACACTACTGATCCACCGATTGCAAGGATTGATTGGCTTTAATAAATTACTTGATGTAAGAGAAATTCAATGCCTGTTGCTAAAGAGATTTTCTTCAACAGACATCATCAAGCTGTAATGACATATTCCATCCATCCATCCATCCATCCATCCATCCATCCATCCATCCATCCATCCATCCATTATCCGTCACGCTTACCCCAAGCGGGGTGGCGAGGGTTGCTAGTGCCTAACTCCACCTCCCTATGGGTGAGAGGCGGGGTACACCCTGGATAGCTCGCCAGTCCATTGGACAGGGCTGTAATGACATATTTTACAAATTAAATGAACAGACATGGAAGTGATTGATTTGATGTGAAGAAGCAATATAAATCCCCACTAACATTGGTGGGTTCAATAGAAAGCCAAGCACAGGTAGGTGTTCTGTTTGGTAAACTACTGAAGGTCAGTTCAGGAATAAGACTCCGAGCAGCCATTTAAGCCTTCTCAACAGATGGCAGGAGTAAACTGCAGAGGGACAACATAAAGAAGCAGCTTGCTTTGAGGGCTCAGCTTTTAAAGAGCTCACTAAAAACGGTGACCTTGCTACCGGGTAGGAGACACTGTATGCTGATAGACATGGACAGAAACAGCAAGAGGCTTCCACTGAGACTAAGACTGAGAGTGTAGGAGGGTTTGGTGCACCCCGGTTTGCTCTAAGGATTTACGGTTATTGAGGTAACCCCTCTGTGGGTTTGGGGCTTTCTGAAAGGAAAAACCTTACAGAACTTAACCTCTTGGAAAGCACGGCACTTTGCTAAACTGATTTTTATTTTTATTTTTCTAGGTAAACGGCAGCAAACTGGATACCATCTGTTGTGTCTTTCTATTAGAACCAGATGGACCTCCTGGATATTTATCCTCCAGAGTTTTTATTTTTTATTATGTCAATTTGGGTTAGCAGCCTCCAGCTGTCTGTATAAAATAATATTTACCCAGAAAACATTTTTTCTGAATTTATACAGCTATAAACAGTATGTCACATAGAGGTATTTTTCTCGATACAAATAGATTCATGGAATTCAGTAAAATACATTTCTACAGCCTTTTTTTGCAGTTATTACTTTCAGACTGATTGGGATATAAGAATGGTGTCTGTTTGTAGGAACCATGAAGTAGAAGAACAGAGAGAGATGCTACATTTTATAAATAAAGACATAGAGCCGGATTTATCAAGATCCAATTTTGCGTGCAGTAATTTGCGCTCGCAAACTGGAATTTTGCGCGAGGGGCTGAACCATGGTTTGCGGGTGATTTAACAAGAGTGATTGCGTAACTGGTGGCAGGTGCAAAACTGTTGGAGACACCCTATTTAAATGATGGTTTTGCGCGTTTTGCGGCAAAGCAGTTTGTAGAAACTAGTGCATTAAGAAATTTAAATCTTACAGTGACACCCCCACCCCCTCCAAAAAAATAACATAAAATTATATATATATATATATATATATATATATATATATATATATATATATATATATATATATATATATATATATATATATATATATATATATATATATATATATATATATATATATATATATACACTATATTGCCAAAAGTATTTGCTCACCCATCCAAATTATTGGAATCAGGTGTTCCAATCACTTCCATGGCCACAGGTGTATAAATTCAAGCACCTAGGCATGCAGACTGTTTTTACAAACATTTGTGAAAGAATGGGTCGCTCTCAGGAGCTCAGTGAATTCCAGCGTGGAACTGTGATAGGATGCCACCTGTGCAACAAATCCAGTCGTGAAATTTCCTCGCTCCTAAATATTCCACAGTCAACTGTCAGCTGTATTATAAGAAAATGGAAGTGTTTGGGAACGACAGCAACTCAGCCACGAAGTGGTAGGCCACGTAAACTGACGGAGCGGGGTCAGCGGATGCTGACGCGCATAGTGCGAAGAGGTCGCCAACTTTCTGCAGAGTCAATCACTACAGACCTCCAAACTTCATGTGGCCTTCAGATTAGCTCAAGAACAGTGCGCAGAGAGCTTCATGGAATGGGTTTCCATGGTCGAGCAGCTGCATCCAAGCCATACATCACCAAGTGCAATGCAAAGCGTCGGATGCGGTGGTGTAAAGCACGCCGCCACTGGACTCTAGAGCAGTGGAGACGCGTTCTCTGGAGTGACGAATCGCGCTTCTCCATCTGGCAATCTGATGGACGGGTCTGGGTTTGGCGGTTGCCAGGAGAACGGTACTTGTCTGACTGCATTGTGCCAAGTGTAAAGTTTGGTGGAGGGGGGATTATGGTGTGAGGTTGTTTTTCAGGAGCTGGGCTTGGCCCCTTAGTTCCAGTGAAAGGAACTCTGAATGCTTCAGCATACCAAGACATTTTGGACAATTCCATGCTCCCAACTTTGTGGGAACAGTTTGGAGCTGGCCCCTTCCTCTTCCAACATGACTGTGCACCAGTGCACAAAGCAAGGTCCATAAAGACATGGATGACAGAGTCTGGTGTGGATGAACTTGACTGGCCTGCACAGAGTCCTGACCTCAACCCGATAGAACACCTTTGGGATGAATTAGAGCGGAGACTGAGAGCCAGGCCTTCTCGTCCAACATCAGTGTGCGACCTCACAAATGCGCTTCTGGAAGAATGGTCAAAAATTCCCATAAACACACTCCTAAACCTTGTGGACAGCCTTCCCAGAAGAGTTGAAGCTGTTCTAGCTGCAAAGGGTGGACCGACGTCATATTGAACCCTATGGATTAGGAACGGGATGTCACTTAAGCTCATATGTGAGTCAAGGCAGGTGAGCAAATACTTTTGGCAATATAGTGTATATATATAAACTTTGGCAACCTTTATTCCCTAAGGTGGTATGTGGCTGAATTTCTACTTCACTGCAGTAAAAAAAAAACAAAAAAAAACGCTGTTTTGTATTTGCCTGTAGAAAAATGCAAATACCAAATGGCACACAAGAAGTGACTGTGGATGAGATTACTTCACGTACGCATCCCCGCAGCATTGGCATGTTGCTCCACAGGCGCAGGGGGGAGGTCGGGGTTCTCCGGTAGGGCGGCAGGGCGACATGGCATTTAGAACGTCGGACAGCACTTCTGAAAAACGTGGTTGGGAGATCCCAGCTCTCGCTGCAACCGTACGCTGGAATGACCCAGATGCAAAAAAGTGCAATGTTGCAAGGAGTTTTGTGATATCTGGTATTGCGTGGGTCCTCCTTGTGGCTGGCTCCAAATCCATTCGGAGTTCCCCCAACAGCTCCAAAATGGCAATGCTGGATAAACGATATGTTTTGATAATCGTTTCCTCGTTCATTCCAAAAATATTCACACGGAGTGAAAAAATGCGCTCTCTGCGTCTCCTTGCTTCATTTCGATGTCTCCTTCTTGCGACAATAACCGCTGCCATGTGTGCGCAATTACGCATACAGACCATTTGCACCTTCTTTTGGAACATGTTAAATATAGAGTCAGATACCGTTAGCAAAATTGCTTTCAGGTTTGATAAATCACTTTGCGAGTGCTATTCATATATTTACATGTTCTTCTCCCACAAGACGCACTTTTGCTTGTAAACGCCCCATATTGCATATTCATTGTGGAAAAAGTGCTAAATGGATCAGAGGCGCTATTTAGCAAGTTTTAAAGACAAAATCCTTTTAGCACGCTGTTGATAGATCAGTTTGTACATTTTTTAGCGTCCGCAGTGAAATAGCTCACGTTTTTATACACGCAAACCTCTGATGGATCCGGCCCATAGAGTAGGCCTAATTATATGATTTTGATATTGTCGATAAAAGTCGACACCCAGGATAGCATGGTCCAGGGGCAGAACAGGTGATCTTTCAGGTGTTATACAAGCATGTTTTAATTGCCTATTTGCCAGTGTGATCCACTGTGGAATGTCCTTCGATGAGGCGCACAGTAAAAGCATTATAATAGGAGTGGATGTGTGATTGTAAGAATTAGGTGCTTTGCCAATGAACCAATCTAGCAGGAAAATCCCCAATGGACAGTTGGCATATAAGACATTAATTATCTTTTTCTCTTCTTAGCTATTAAATTAGCTTCAATAACATATTTCTAAGATGGAAATTTAACTATTTAGAAAAAGCTTAATTTTGTACTGTTGTAAAAAAAAAAAAAGAAAAAAAAGGCGTGGAATAATTTTGAAGTAACAGATTAAAAACTCATTCATTGTCCATTTGTAGATTGTGGGTATTTTATTCATTCAAATTCAAAGATTAAAATGAATCAAACTCTTATATCATTATTTTTTTCCTGTGTTTTAGTCTGGCCTCATTGCAGCGTGTTATCATGGCTATGTGGACGTTGTCATTGCTCTCTCTCAGTGCCCTTACCTGGATGTGAACTGGCAGGACAACGAGGGTAACACCGCACTAATTATTGCAGCTCAAGCAGGTAAAGAAAAATCAGCCTCCCTACTAATTGTAACACAATTGTTGTATAAGTTCCAGCTATGGAACAACGACTGTCATAACTGGTACTTTCTTTTTTGTTCATGTATTTTTGGGGGAAATGGAAACTGAGAGAAAAAAGATACCTATTAACAGCTTCAGTCACAAACTAATCAGGAGCATTAATGTAATTTAATTTGAGACTGAATGATTTTCTTGAGATGCTGATTGGTCAAAGGGGAATGATTTTATAACACTATCTATCTGCTCGATTTTGAGCCGTTTATCGTACGTTTTCCTTCAAACTAACTTTCATTTGCATTGTACAGTATCAGATGTCACATTGACAAAGTAGTGCTAAATAAATCTGAATTATGCAATGTTCAGTGTTGTGATAAGCATTAATATGGTCCAGAAACACAATTTTACGGTACATTCCAAAAAAGTTAAAAAACAATCCACTGGACTTTGTTTCCAAGTTTAAAGACATTTCGCTTCCCACCCAGGAAGCTTTTTCGATTCAAGATGTCAGAAATAGCGTTGAGTTCGAGGCTTTATAGATTGGACCAAAGAAACAAAGCCTTTTTTTAGCTGAGAAAACATGCAAAAACAGACGAACGGGTTTGTCTCTGAAAGGGGGTCGTTAGAGCGAATTATTGGCCTGGATGGACAGGTGAGGTGGTCTGTTCCATTGTAAGGGGGTAGGGGTTGCATGATAAGTAATCAACTGTAAAGATGCATTGTAGATTTTTGAAAGCTGAAATCTCAGTCAACCCCCTCTGTTAAAGGTTGGTTTTTCTTTCTTTACATGGATCGCTTCCTTCACGCCCCTCTCAAAGTACCTGTCCTCTTTGTCCAAAATGTGAACCTTACTCTCAAAAGAATGTCCTGGTGTGGGTTGACATCTGTTCAGATTTCAGCTTTCCAAAACCCACAATGCAGCTAATAAGTTGACAAAAACTGTAACAATTCCCTCTAACAACCCCCCTTTCAGAGACATAGACAGGTTTTGGTATTACATGCCAACAAAGAACCCAAACGACCCCCATTCCAAAGGGGCGAACCCTTTCGTCGGGTTCAATTTGACTAACAGAATGACTAACCCTGGATGATTGAGAATCTTCAGTTAGTTATTATACATTGTTAGATCTATGGTAATACTTTACAAGTTTCACACTGAAGTTTACTGTGGAAAAAAAAAGCAATTATTAGTTCAAAGCCCAGTATAAAAGTCATGGAATATAAAGTCTAGTGGATCAAAGTGTTTGTAATGACAGAGTAGCATCAGCAGTAGTTTCACAATGACTCAGCCAGATGTGGCAGACACAGAGTTCTGGTCTCTTATCACATAATGATGATGAATAGCTCACTGGAGACTGTGATAAACAGTGGAGGACCTGTTTTTCATTTTCTGCTTCATTAGAAGAGGAATCGATCCAGTTTCATAAAAAAAAAAAAAAAAAAAAAAATACTCTCAACACTGAGGCTCCATCATTCTGCAAAAGCAGACAGAAAAAGTGAAAACAAAAGTTATAGTTTTGAGATGTAGTATTGGAATCAGACCGAGTGACCCTGAATGGTTCACGAATTTTTCATGACAAAGTATCCAAGGCTGAGACTATTTTTAACAAGTAGGGTGGAGTGTAATAATGTGCATTTCTCTGGTAAAAGCTACACTTTTGTAATGCATGAATGACAAATGAAAAAAAATTATGACAAAAAAACAAACAAGAAAAACACAAAAGTAAAAAAGAGGTTTCATTGGCTATAGACTTGATGGCTTTTTTTCCAGATTTTCAGAAGTCATCTTTTGCTGAAATCTATTAGCATCCTGCATTTTGGAAATACGCTATACCAAATCTTTTCCAGGTGAAGCTAATCTGCTGTTGAACTTTATGTATGCTCAGGTTTACTATCTTTAAGTTCTGTTTTTAGGCCTTAGGGTTATCCCTAGGCTTACAATAATAACAAGATAAAAAAATATCAGGCTTTCTATAAGACTCCCATTCTATTCACATAGATTTTCTTTGTTTACCATTGCAACTTTCATTATATGATGTTAGAGTATTTATTTTGGCTGCAAGGAGAATACCTGTCCTACTCCAATGTTTTTGCAGCCACTGCCAGCTTTTCTTGAAGGGTTTGCCTTTTATTCACATTTAAGCTTAAAACCCTTCTTAGACTTGGTAGGTTTAGATATAACATAATTTAATTCAACCCCAAAGTTTGCTTCTGATAGGAAAGCAAATAAGCATATCTCAAGAATAAAAAAAAAAACTATAAATATATAGTGTTGTTACTGTTATTTAAATAATTTCATGTCAAAATGATTTATACCCTTCCCAGCATCCCGGCAGCCAAACCCTTTTTATAATTAATGAGCAAGCCTGATGCATGTTTGCAGTGGTATTTCAACAATTGTTGTTTAGTAATGAGGTCCGGTTCTTTGTGACTGGAAGGCATCTATGCCATCACTCTAAGCTTTTGCTCCATTCACAGCTTTGATTTCTGAAAGAAGCCTGCAATTCAATTTAATTAAGTTTATTTATATAGCACCAATTCACAACACATGTCATCTCAAGCCACTTTACAGAGAAAATAAAACCAGATCTTACAGTCAAATTGATTCAAAGTTTTCTATCTAAAGAAAACCAATTGATTGCAACGACTCATTGACCCAAAGGTAATAAATCACACCATGCATACTTTAAGTGACAGAGGAGAGGAAAAACTCCCTTTTAACAAGAAGAAACCTCCAGCAGAACCAGGCTCGGTGTGAGCGGCCATCTGCCAAGGCCAACTGAGGTTAGAGGAGACAGATGCAGAGATACGAAAAGAAGCAGAGATATAAAAGGCAACTGTCAACCAGCTCCACAGGCGACCTGTCCTGGAAACACACAGCCAGTCAGACAAACTCAGAGCCAGCTCCCATGTAAAAGGATGATAGAGAGCACATACTGTTAGTCACAGTCAGAGAAACTAGAGTTCACTAAGAATAGGCCAAGCTCCAACATCTATAAACAAAGGTGTTGATAGTAGCAGCACAGCTGATATTTTTGTCCAGGGTGAAGTCATAGCTAAACAGGAACAGACCAGATGAAGCTACTACGAAAATAACCAGAGAGAGCATAACGTTAGTGATTGAACTAACGACTACCACAGAGTGGGAGAAAAGAGATAGAATGAAGCACAATGATTAAAAAGGGGTCCCCATGTTTTCCAGCAGTCTAAGTCTATAGCAGCATAATTATAGAATTAGCTCAGGATAACCTGAGCCTGAGCCTCAAGAAAATATTAATATTGCTAGAGGTGGGAAGAAACATACTGGCCAAGTTCAGACGTAGAAAGGATTAAAAAAATAATGTGCTCCAGTACACAGTTTGAAGACATTTTATTAAATAAAAGTAACTTACCAGTTTAAAATTTTACTCAAGTAAAAACTGTCATTAAAATTTTACTATAATTAAATTAAGTTTCTTAGTTACTCTTTCTTGAGCAGAGGAACCCTAGAGTAGAGGAGCACAGACAATTAAACTTATTCTTAAATTATTTCCCTTTAGAACCTATAAAGAATACATATACACATAAACAAAGAGGAAAAAATACCTAATAAAGAAATAGAGGTTTAAAAATACATAATGCTATTTCATAACCAAGGAAGTTAATATCTTTAAGTGGTAAATTAAAATGTACTTAATAAAAACCCAACATTGAATCACTGACCGTTCCTTTAGTTAAAAGTTTTTTTGTTTTTTTTTAAAGAGCACAGAATGCTGGTTACCATGAGTAATAAATAAAATGATGATTAGTAAAACATTAATAAGAATAACATTATTACTAATCTGCTAAATACGATATCCCTTTTTACATGAAAAAGACTTTAAACACTAAACCTTTTCAACTTTCCTCCATATACATGCTTGGGTTTGATTTTGAGTTAGTAAATGAGGAGAATTAGATCTCTTTAGGCTAATTTAACCAGCTTTGTGGTGTGATCTGTGTCTGAATAATGCACCTCCAAACCAGCCGATGGATCATGATGTTGCTTAAGTTTTTCTTTTCTTTATTATGGAAGGATGTAACTTTAATGTAACTCAGTAAAATTGCTGAAGCAAATCACACCCAAGTATAATTATAAGTGCATTTTGTGTAAACTGTTTAACAAAGTATAGAGTACACTTAAATTGTACCTAACTTAAGTAACATGAGTAAATGTAACTAATTAATTTTCACCGCTGGTAAAATTCGTATGTTATGAATTAGGTCTGAGATATGTTGGCCTTTACTTTAGCATCACCCCACCTACCATCAGGTTTCTGATCCAGTTTGTTTTGTCACTTATAAGCTAAAAAGCTCAATTTTTGTCTCATTAGACTATAACATCTTAAAATGTTAGATAGCCTGAAGTTGTGTATATAAATAGAATAGGGTCCATTGGATTGATCTGGGTTTAAATTTGTCTGAAAGCAGAAAACTTTTAACTCACCTGTCTGGTAAATTTTTGGCTCTTTGCTAAACAATTTGTTGGCATAACAACTGTGTTTATACTGATATCAAATGGCACAGAAAAGGAAATTCGATGACTACGGTAGATAATGTAAAAAGCAACTGGTTTATTTTGGATTTCATTTAGAATATCAGAGACAATCAAGTTAAAAATAAAAGAAAACCACTTTTATCTAGATTTACGACAGTAAAAGGTTTGAAAAACCTTCCATCATTTCCCTCATATTTTACAATCAAGCCTTACTCTGTGTTGCTCTATTGAACAAATATACATAAACATAGATTTGTGGGTGTGATGTGAGAGAATACAGACAGGTCCTTGAAAACTCAGATGTCACAATTAACAAATATTTCTCTGTGGTTCACAGGTCATGCATTTATCTCCAACTATCTGTTGAACTACTTTCCGGGTTTTGATATCGAGAGGAGGAACTGTCATGGTTTCACAGCCCTGATGAAGGCTGCAATGCAGGGCAGGCTTGAGTGTGTCAGAGCCCTCATGTTGGCAGGTATGAACAAGTTCTTATTTTGCAGGGACTCATCTTCAGGTCTCAACAGGGTGGCTTTAGCTTGAAAACATCACCATGATGTCTAAGTGGAAGACATTCATTTATTTTTTGCCGCAAACCCAAATAAGAATATATGAAATTGTGCTTTGAGAAATATATGTCTTGACATGTTTGATAATGCTTTTTAAACTCTATATGTCCCAAATAAATCTCCACACAGGAAGTGATATCCAAGCTCGGGACTATGGACGACAAATGACCCCCAGGGAGTGGGCTCTCTTCACTGGTCGATACGAGACGGCTGACCTGATGCTTCGGCTTATATCAAAGCCCTGTGCTGAACAGTTTTGTGACTCCTTCTCCCTGGAGTGGCCATTGTTGGAGGTTAATGCAATAAAATTTTATTAAGTTGTAAGTATAAATGCACTGTCTAATAGTTATTCAAGCATTAATTTAATGTCTCTTTTGCAGGAACTCGTGTTGAAGGCACAGAACCCACAGACATTTTGTCAGCGCTTGATGAAACTCGTGTCTTGCTGCCCTTACAGGTTATTTGTCAACAACAAGGTAAACCCTGTGAATGATGGGGTTCTTGAACACATGGTGAGGATTACCACAGCCATTTCTAGTCCCTTCATGGCCACAGCGTGCCACACCGTGTGCCCAAGTAGCCCACCGTGCATTGGAAAACGCCGACAAGCTGTGCAGGAGATCCTGAGGAGGCAAAGGGTAGCAGAACTTAAACGCCTGGGTCCCGACAGGCTGAGCAACTATAAAAAGCTTTTCCAGAACTCAAGGGTCCAACTCATTCCCAAAGTGAGGGATCGACGGGCAAGCCTGCAGCCTCAAATTATCAGTGACATGGCAGCAGTGTCCACGGTGGCCATTAGAAGAGCCAGTCTCCTGCCACTCAACATGCTGAGACGAAGGAGCGTGAGGCCAGGCATTGTCGTGCCAAAGGTCAGGCTCTGCAAGGCTCCACCTCCAACCTTCACGCCAGAAAACCCAGGCAGAAGCAGCAACGAAAACCAGCTTAAGATCCCCAAATGGGATTACAAGATGAAGAAAATAGAGAAGAGACAAGAAGAGGAGAGGCGGCGAATGCTATCTCTGCTTAGAAGAAGGTGAAGGGCAGAAGGAAGTGTCTACACTTTATAACTTTTTGCAATTTCCAACAAGAGCTTGTGTCTTGTGGACACAAAGCACACAGTTGCAGCCTTAGTAAATCTAAACCTTTAATGTGAATAACACTAAAAAGTTTGTTCATACCTGTTTAGATTGTGGATGCAGAGACCTGTACCACAAAGCCAGCTCAATGCAGCAGGATTGCTCCCAGGCTATCCAATTTAACCAATCCACAACAATGGCCATCAGGATCAGTGGTACCACGACGCTGGTGATCAACTTGCTAACTCATTCCAGCTTTGACTGAACAAAATTCTGAACGTGCATTGTAAAAATGGGCGGGTTCAAGGGAGCAGGCCAATCAAAACCATGAGCCAACTGCGAAAATGCGCAAGTTACACTTTTTCTACTTAAATTAAACTTTGCAGCATTTTAGTGTTTCTTTTTTTTTTTTTTACCTGGTTATTAATAATCATAATCAATAATCATAATCATAATATTAACTGAATTTTATTAATCTCACAGTGGAGAAATTTACCTCTGCATTTGACCCATCCCCTTGGGGAGCAGTTGGCTGCCATCGTGTGGCGTCCGGGGAGGGGTTAAGACACTTGCTCAGAGACCCAAAATGGCAGTCTGTGGGAGTGGGGCTCAAACTCAGAACCTCAGGATTCCAAGCTCTATGCCCTAACATTTCTCCTTCTAAATTATACCGTTACAGCAAACATTAAAAATGTAAAGATTTTTCCCCTCTGAATTAAATCTAGTCTTCATTGAAAGGGCACGTCAATGTTTCCCCAATAGCTGATTGGCTGCTGGGTGGAGCGTTTTCTAGGAATCAGATCATTTCTGAAGGCTAGCCTGCCCAGTACCAGGTTTCAGAGTACATTACCATGGTGACTTGTCTTGCTAAGAATGAATCCAGCTTTGTGGTACCTGAAGGTCAGGGTTGAGGCTTAAGTTGTCTCACTAACCCAGTAATCCTGCTTTGTGGTACAGGCCTCAGATGGCCTTGTTGCCTTGTCTCTTCTTGAATTTGCACACCTTCCATTAGAGGTGAAATATGTAGTGCTAAACAGCAGAAAAGGGAGCTAAATGTAAACAATTATGTTACTTGGATTAAACATTAGAATCTCAGGTATTTTTTGACATATCAGACATCTTTCAAGGAACCCTGTTAAACAGGCAGTGCTGCTGAGCTTTCTCTTTTTACAAAGCCAACCCTCTAGTTTTTGTCCAAGGCATCATACGAATGTGGAAGGATCTACATGAGATGGCCAACATTTACTCTGAAGATATAAAACAATAACAGCAAAATGACAAGCGCTCATGCAAAGACAAAGAGTTATTTGCTTAAAGCATGATTTGGTCAAATGTGAATGACTTCATTTAGATAAATGTATAAAAGTTGGAGGGATCAGGCCAGAAAACAAGGAATCTACAACCTGACAAATAGATTAAAGATTCAGAGAATTGCAACAACTGAATTAATGAAGTAAGATGAGACTACGGAGCACATATCAGAAAGCCAAACAAGCCAGACGTTGTTCTTCACTGTTGCAGGGGATGTTTGAGGACGAGGGCAGTTAAGCAGTATTTCAGAGCTGAGATGGAGAGCTAGCTCACAGAGGCTTTGTAAGGGCTTTGTGAAGAAGCTGAAAGGAAGAGCCGAAAATATACAGCTTAGTTCTTCACTCTGACATTCTGACTTTTAAAGTTATCATGGGATAGTTTTCTGTCTAAAAGCTACCGGCTTTGTGAGTTGTGCCATATGTTGCCTGTAATTAGCTGTTTTTAGCTTTTTCTCTAAAGGAAGAAATAAAAACAATAAGAAAAATGATGGTTTAACACAAGATAAGTATCTGTAATTAATAAATATGATACAAAACTAGGTAATGATTATTGTCTATTTTTTAATAAATAGCACCACTGGAAACATTGCAGTTTGTTATATCAAATGTTTTATTCTTATTTTGAATGTTTATTAGATGCTGTAACGTTGAATATGTAGCATTAGCTAAAGTGAACTCTAGAATTAACTTTTGTAAAAGATGTTTTTTTTACAAAGTACGACAAAGACCAAACACCTTGGTTTTGCTTTGGAAATGCTTGGAATAAGAACCTTACAAGACAGGATGGCAACAAATGTACCAAGTATTTGTTGCCATCCTCCAACAACTAGAAGTACCTATCTTCTTAAAGCTACAGTGTGTAATTTTCAGCGACATCTAGCGGTCAGACTGCAGACCGCAGCAACATGAACATCTCCCCCCCACCGCTTCTCCCCCCCAACAGTACGGCGAGCGTTACGGGACAAAATTTCTTCCACGACGTCCACATCACCTACCCTCTCAAGTGATGAGGTTTGTTTACATAGATAATTTTACAGATAGTATTTCATTAGTCTGTGTAGGGTATAGATTTCATGTAGACTTAAGATAATAAATATACCCGTTATTTTTTCTACATCGTTGTGACGTTTTGGTGAGCTGCTTTGCATGGTGATATAAACAGACGAAGTAATGGTAGTCATTAGTTTAACAGCGAGATTGTGTTCGCTGGAAGAATATATATTCCCCGTTTACAGAGTCCAAGTCATTTTGGTGGCACGGGGGTTACAACGCGAGGAAGAGGGAGAGGACGAGGGCGAAGGCAGGGAGGCCGTGCTGCTAGGGCCAGGCGAGAGAGGGGTGCCAGCGGGGTGAGAGCAGAGGAGGAAACGCTTGAAGATCTCCAAAGGAGCCGGAGAGAAGTAACCGAGGTATATATCCAGAAAATTATTTTACAGAAAATTACTGAATCATTACCTATGAAACGTCAGGGACGTTGCTGAATAAGTATACTGGAGAGGAACAGCATCATCACGCCGCAGCATGTTATTGTTTTAGACAGGTCTGAGCATCCTGTACTCCAAAAACTGCAGTGACATTAGACAATTGTGTGTGTAGGATTAATTACCTGTCCAAGAGAAAACTGGCAACTTGAGCGTCACTTTGAAAACCTTTTTCCTCCATCAGTGACTTCCATCGTGTAAATGCCGTGCCAATGTTGATCCGTGTTTTTTGTCGTTTCTTGTCACGCTTGCGTTTATTCTCGTCGTGTTTCCGCTTCTTAGATGACGGGGGTTCGGTGTCCGCCGTTTTTCGTTGTGATACAGAGTAGGCATGATCCTCCATTCGTCTGATGTTTGGCCAAACAGTTTGCAAAGTCACTCACGCCTGCCGCCTTGTTCACCTTTCTTGTTACTGATGCGCAGTATACCTGCTTCTTCTTCTTCTTTGGTTTCAGGCAGACTAAACGCTTCTCAGGCATAATACTGCCATCTACTGTTCAGTACCGTCTCAGTTCATCTCTCTCAACTTGCCGTAGTTATTTTTGAGCGTCATGGGAGATCTCGCAATCGCTAGTTTGTTGCCTCTGCGCTTGCCGTAGCGCAAAGATGTCAGCCTCCATGGCTGCGAGACCCGCTCCTATGTAATTATAAATAACGAATTCTAAGGCAACGCAAATATTATGGTTAAAAGGCTGAGCTCATAGGTGATGATAAATAACATAGTTATGTATAATATATTAAATTTCTGACTTTATATGCCTGTAATTATTACACACTGTAGCTTTAATTTGACATTTATTTGATACATAAAGACGGAGAGTTAAAAAGAAGCAAAGTATTTTTTATCCCAGAAGAAAGAAATAGCATTCATTAGTCTTCTTAGATTTATTATCCATTGTTCAACTCAAGTTGACTAAATATAACCCACGTGGGATTTTTTTTATTTCTTAAGGGTCAGTTAGAAGTGCCAGTTTGCTCAAACTGTTTGCCAGATGGCAAATTTACACACTGAAAATGTCATAAAAAAACAAAAACTTGTTTTGTTCCACAAGGAAGACAGTTATCACAGTAATATGTTAATTATGTAAAGCTAACTAGTAATAGCAGTAGAAACAGTTGCTCTGTTGTGTTGGAAGTTCAAGCTCCGTATCCCTTGCCTTGCAAGCAAGATCAATTATTGTGAGATTTGTGAATGCACAATCTCACAAACACACAAACTACATCTTGCCAGAAGCCAATAGATGCATTAGCCTTCATACAGAAATATTTTAAACCAATAAAATGCAGTGCTATGTATGATGTCAACAAGCCAAACAGAGAGAGAAGGCTGAAGCAAAACAAACATGGCTGCGCAGGTTTTAGCTCTATATCTTTTTTAAAACAACAGGAAAGGGATGTGATTTGTGCCATTGCGGATTTGAGGCTGTTTGCATGTGCTGATCAGATTTGGTAAGAGTTTGCTCAATGTGATTCGTTACAGTTGCTGCTGTGATTGATTAAAAGCTTGACATGGGAGGCGGATGCCACTTGGTGATTTACTCAATCAGCTCGAAGAATTGTACTGAATGTCCCTCCCTTTAGCAAACACTTTCCCCAGGAGCCTTTCCAGATGCATACTGTGAAAAATTTAAATTGAACAACAATCCAGCCTATGCCAGGTTACAGTGAGGGATTAAATATGTTCTAGTTGAAAGTCAGAAAAAGAATATTTGCTTAATTTATTTTTAAGTTTATAAAATTGTGTTTTCTTCCTTTCCTTTCATGCATTCAGTCATTTAGGGAACATTAGTACAGATGGTTGTTGTACACTAGACTGCATGGCACTGGTTTAATGAGATACAAATGATCAGAAGTAATAATGTGTTCCTATGCCTCTTTCTTCTTTGTCTTAGATGGTTCAAAGCCATTTTGATTATTGAGCATGGGGCTGCTCTGTTACCTATTTTCTCAGCTGCAAGTTAACCTTCATGAAGCTTCTTTAGTTTATCTATGACAGGAAACTAAAAATTTGAATTCCAAGAAAAAAAAAAAAAAAAAAACTCTGAGTACATCACTTTCATCAAATTATTTTTGCTCTTATTACAGATTACTTGGAGTGCCCTAACAGCTAATATCAGGTATCTAATCGCTTGGTGAACAAACAATAGATTCATTTGTTGGGGACCACATCCCTAATGTTGGATTTTACAAACAATTTGTGAAAAACTGAATAAAAGCAATAACATTCCCATATGATAAGAGTATGCTTCTGCATATCATACTGACCATTTATCAATGTATTTTTGTATTTAGTTAGGACAATTAACTGTTTGATCTCTCATCATAGAAACCATCAATACATTTTAATATTGATATATAATCTAGCTAGGATTTTCAGATAGCTAGATGGTGTTTTTATAATTGACCACTTTGTCATTCCAATTTCTTTTTTTAGATTTCAAGTGGACATTATAACCTTAGATTTTGCCCTGATAAACATTCAGCTATAACCCTAAAATGTTGATCAGATTCGCTGGAACTGATCTCATACTATGACATGAAACTTAATAATCGTTGCCCAAACTTTGCGGCAAACTAACACTACCACAGGTCAGATGTCTTCAATTAGCCACTAGAAAAAACATGCTTATTTTTCACTTAAGATTGATCTATTTGAGGAGGGTTCTCACCTGTGTCACACTGTAGATCAGTAACAGGCTAATTCCTCATAAAATATATATATATATATATTCTCTTTTACTATGGATATCAAAAATAAGG